GACAAGCAAATTCTTACTCGAGAAGTTCGCTTTTCCACAACCGCCGCAGAGCCGCAGACCGTGCCTCTCGACCCACCTTGGCGAAGGAGCAAGCCAGGCGCCAGAGCGACTCATCACAATCCTTCCAGCGCATCGCCTCGACAGGCGGAGGTTCGGAGGTTCCGTCCAAAAGGATTCCCCAGATGTCCTCAGGCACCAAAGCAATGGTGTCCCCATAGTAATAAACAAAACTGTGTATTAAAATATGGGGGTGTCCCTGGGTGAAATGTGGGGAATCATCAAGTTTGGAGGGGGGGAAAACCCATACTAATAAACTGGGGGCCGACATTAACCACGCAAACAGGTCACCCGATGATGAGCGCAGGCCGCAATTGATGGCGCCAACATAGCATTGATTAGGCTGCTCGAAAATGGAAATATGGGGAGACAGGTCCCTTCAGGAACACGCCTTCTTCCGCACAATGAAGGCGCTTGCCGCTTTCAGCAACTCGTCGTCGACAAGATCGGCTTCTGCTAGCCACCACAAGGACACCCCCACGTCATCAAGGGTCATGTCTTCAATGAACTCGGCGACCTTGCAACGCAGCAGTCATGTCATAGGATTCCCCTCTGCAAACAGTTTAACATTTTTGGGGTCAATGCAAAATACCAAAGGTCCAACAAAAGGCCAAAATAGCCACGAAGCCCCCCGCCCAACCAGCCCCCTTCCCCTGGGTTTCAGGGCCTGATGCCGCCTTTTGAACCCTCCCTGAAAGCTGCAAAGCCACCCCACCGAAGCTGCTGGGCAGAGACCCGAGAACTTTCAGCTGGGGAAAAAAAACAAGAAACCAAACTGTTAGGGCCGTATTTTGGGGAGGTGGGATCCTACAACGAGCTTAGTGAGACCACGCCAGCGGCCAGCCCGAACCTGGCCTGGTCTCGTAAGTTCAGGAGGAAATCGCCACTTCCGCTGGGACGGGCACGTCCGCCTGCCATGCTCAAGTTGAGTGCGCATTCTTTCGTGCATGCACCTTCTTCGTGGAGTCGGATGGTTTATCGGCTTCGCCTTCTTCCACACAAATGGCAGTTGGCCAAGCAAGCATACCAAACAACACGCATAGAATCTGAGGTTTGGGGATGCCATGGCGACTTGGTTAAGCCTCCTGTTGTTGGCCATGGTCAGGGCGTCCTTCATAGGAAGGGGGGCTGATGACCAGCCCTCTAACATTCAAGGGTATTTCGACCGGGGGTCCATTTCACCCTGTGCAAAAGCGGGCCTGAACCTTTGGGTCTGCGTTCATCTGGCGTAACCGTCGACCACACATCCAAGCCTTTGTAGCGCGCTTTGGCGGCTGCAACAACCCACGGCATCGAGCAAAAGCGCTGGATCAGGCCAGCCAAGTCCTGGCACATGAGCCGAGACCCCGAAGCGGCCCGATAGCCCTTGCATAGTGGCCGCAAGTGTTGTGTCATTAGAACTCTGGGGGGTGGTTTGAGAGTAGAGGAAGCTATCTTACATAGGTGTGCAAAGTACTAAGCGAAAGTAGGTTACCACCATGCTTGTAAGGGGGACAACGAAGGGTGGTTGATATATGCCATGATTACAGCCTACTTACTATGCAGGATGCAAATTTACGTGTCCCTGGCAAATGGAGAGGCAAACCAAACATGAGAAGTAAGTGGGCGGTGAATTGTTACGTGGGGTTGATTTGCACAAGTCAGGTGGAGCTTCCTCTCGGAGTCATCCTCCACTAGGCTCAGAACTTAGGTGGGCCTTTGGCTTGGCTTCGTGGCTCTGCCTCCTGACATTGGGCATGGTTGGAGAGCTGCGGGGCATTAGCTGCTCAGAGGGGGGTTGCCCACCTACCTCCCCCTTGGAACCCCATGAAAGGGTTTTTGGTTCCACCCACCCGTTTGCCGGCAGGAGCCGCTCGAGCCGAAGCGGCGGTCCTGCAGCTCCAGGACCTGCATGAGCTCCGGCCTTGCCCGGGCCACCAGCTGCTTCCAAATCCCCACCTCCCGCTGCAGGCCGTCCGACAGAAGCATCCGCACCACATCCTCGCGGAAAGGGAACTGATCTGGTGAGCAGGTTCCCTGGGACCCAGAAATCAAAGGCGGAGCTTCTAAGGCCCACTACAAAAGGAAAAGGAAAAAGGAAACTAAAAAGTTATAAAAGGTCGATTCGCCTTGTGAGTGTTCACCCCGGAGCGCCGTGTGACACGCTCCCGTCTCCCGGGTGGTCGGTTTCAACGCTGCATCATCAAAGGCAGCGACCCAAAAGGCCAAAAGGAAATTTCTTCAAGGGGCGATGTCGTGAAAGGACATGTTGCAAAGGGGTCGGCACTTTCTGGAACGGAAGCCCAATGTTTAATGGATGTTTGTCAAGCTTGGTTAAAATGTTCTGTAGTCTACATTTCGTTTAGGACCTTAGGAAAGACCTTGGGGTACTCATGCACCAGGTCAGGTTCATAAATCCGGACAATGCCCAGCCCCTGCGTCCTTGTCGCTCATCGAGTCGACCGCATGCTTCACCTCTGGAGTGCGCAAGTCTGACATGTGGAAAGAGAACCATCGATTTCGAGCACTGCACATGCAAAGCAAGCCACGCTCAGGTGCCCTCAAGTGAACATCTTGAATGCTCAAACAACTTTGGGGATGGGACAATCCACTTTCAAAACATGTTTTTTTTTTCTGTTCTTTTGTTTTACGGGCAATCCTTGGTTGACATTTTTTTTTTTAACGGGCAACTGCTTTTGAGATCAGCTGGACCCAGTAAATCATCCCCTGGGACTTCACGCCTTTCGGAGACTTTTCCGGCCTTGCAGCGGAGCAGCGGGAGGACCTCCCCGTGCAACCGGGGAATCACATTCTTCAGCGCCACGGCGGCCGTCATCCTCACCGTGGCATAGGTGTCCTTTTAGGGCAAATAGATGGGTTTCCCTGGTACATGACTAAACCACTAGGTAAACCAGGAATCGAAACCCATCAATTTTCGACCAAAACAACCAAAAAGGACACCTATGCTCACGCTTTGTGCTTTATTTCTTTGCGCTTCTAGGGGAGCCCCGCTTTTTTGCCGTGGGTTTAAAGGGAAAAACAATAGCAAACCCACCATTTTGGGGGTCTATACTCATACGTCGTGTTTGCTTTTAGGGGAGCCCCCGTGTTTGGGTTGGGTTTGCACGGAAAACCAATACCAAACCCACCATTTTGGGGGAGTCCCGGTTTTTTCGGAAGACCAACCCAGCATGTACTCTGACACATGCCCACACGCGCGGCACGCGAAGCCTGAACCCCCTGGCGTCCAGACCCAGAACTTCAGGCCGAGAAGCATAGCAGCGGCATCTTCGGTGACAAGGCCAACGCGGTGGTTGCGGCCCTCTCGGGGTTGCAACGGATCCTCCACCACCATTGTGCCTTGCACTGGCACATGGGCCAGTCAGCAAGTCATGCTTGCGGGACGTAGGCATGCTACCAAAATGGGCCATGACGACTTTGTTGCGTTGTGGATTCGCTTGGTATCACAGAAAGTGGCCCCTCCTGAGACTCCAACTGTCCCGACGGTTGTCACTGCTCACAGTGGCTTTGCTTGCAACAACTTCCACGAACAAATCGGCAAAACCAGCCTGAATGGGAACAACAGGCCCCAAAAAGGCGTGATAATGCGGTTGAGCTTTTATAAAGGAGCACAGCCAGTCTAATTGCCAAGCTGCAATTGTCATCCAGCAAGAACTCCTCCAGCCAAGGAATTGTGAGACTGTCAGATATGGATTTTGCAGCTGCACGTATGAGGGCCCATACTGCCTTACAAACGTGAACGTTGGTGGTACACATGCCCACGTACAACAGAACCCATTTTCTGTAAATGTCTTGCTTCCGGGGTCTCACCGCCACCAAAAGAGTCTCGGTACTGCAGCGTTTGAAAATCCCTTTCGCATCTAGGATGCCGCCAGCCAGGCTACCAAAGCCCGCTTCGCACCACATGTTTCTCCAAGCAGTCAGCTTTACTCATGGGCCGCTTCAGGAAGCCCAACCGCAAACCGCCCATGAAGTTTGCATCCTCTTCTCCGCTAAAGGAGTTGCCAAAGGTCCAACCGTTGGACTTCCGTGCCTTGGTCCTGTTCAGGAGGTTCATGAGGACAGGCTGCTGGCGTGGCATGTGTTTGAAGCTCACCTTGGGCAGAAGCCTCACCGCCTCAGGTTTTTTTGATTTTTTCGGCGCGCACCGGAGCCGCGAGCCGAGAGCCACCCAAAGGCAAAACGAAGAGAGCCGTGATGCGGGCGGTCTTTTTTGGGATGGTACCCCGCGGTACCCCTGTGTAGCGGTTTTCAAAGGAGGCCGAAAGGAAAACCGATGCCATTTTTGGGGGTCACCAAACATAAGACACACCCGTAGGACCCATGTAGGTACAGCTGTATATCCCATCGCCCTGAGGGTAGGTTTCAGGGCCACGCAAACACACGCCATGCTTGTCACAGGCTTGTCACAGGCGTTTCAATGACAGAGACTCGCTGAAAGGTCCAACAATAAGCCCAACTCGGTCTTGCTATAAGGCACTTGTTTGGACCCTGGCAAGGCAATGATTGGAGGGCCTCTTAAAGTTACTGGGGGGGTGCTTGACAACCACCGGAGCAACATATCAGGAACGTATCAGCAGTCGCGTTCTCTTGCGGTTTTCCCTCCTCCCTCGCCTTCGCGGCATGTTGGATGGCGAAATCCGCCTTCGGGATTTCTCGCTCCCAGACGCGGAAGACGTCTTGCCTGGGCTTTGGAAGCAAATTCTCAGCCGAGCCATCAAAATTACTTGTTTCGGCACACACGGGGGCGACGTTTGCAAACCCCCCGAGTCTTTGTGAAATTCGGTGGATTCCTCCGTGTCCCTCGATGGACCGAATGGACCGGCCATTAGAACATGTTGACCAGCCCTGCATAAACTTGCTGGCGCTTGATGCTGTCCCGGCTCCAGCGAGGTTGGGGTCTACCACGCTGCACCTTGGACCTTGGCAGGTGAGATGAGCTCCCCGCCTCTTCTATGCTTCCAGGCGCGCAAGTTCTTGCATTAATGCCGTGTGTCAGTGGTGTTGTGCGGGAGTAACCGCAGAAGACTGACACCAAATCCATGGATAGCGTCCCTCTTGGTGGTTTGGATTGGTGGTTTGGCGGTTAGGAGGCGTACCGTATGCGGCTGCCCATGTACCCGAGGCCCACATCCAAATCCAAACCACCAAGGGCCTGATCTGCAAAGCTCAGGAGCAAACGGATGTAGGATCTGGGCAGGGAGCCCAGAAACATCCCTCCGCCTCCGAGGCGTCTGTGGCCGTCCTTATGCAGCGCACTAAGCCGGCAGACACTGGAAGGAAGACACGGAGGTCCCCGAAAAGGGCATGCAAGCTGCCATGATTGGAGGGAGGGTGGTCAAACCTGGCATGAAAGGAGCCCAAACCGGCGGAAACTTGCCGCACCTGTTCACCTGGTTTCCATGGTGGCTAATTCTCAGAAAGAGCCACTCTTCATCACACCCTTTGTGGCAAACACCCCCACCCAAACATCCCCTGCACCCCTCGGTGTGGTCAACTTGAAAAATCCACGCCCCCTGCTGGCTTTGCATCGAGCGTCGCCCCCGCCGCGGGCTCCTTTCTGTTATTGGCGCCTCTGAGAAGCCCCAAATCCTGACGATTCGAGGAAGCTTGGGGCTGAAGATGGCGCGAGAGTTAGCTAAAATTGTTTAGTGACTCTAGGCACATGGGTTTGCAGGGGTTAACTGGGGAGGGTTAAAAGAAGGTTACCGGCCACCTAGCTAACTTCCGGACCACTTAAGCCCGGGTTGTTCAAGAGGTTCGGATCCCCGAATCCTGCTCCCTAATCGATTTGTGGGACAGGGGCGGCACAAGGATGAAGCATTGATGCTGAACAACCCAGTAAATTGGGGGAACGGATGGGTTTCGCTGCTTATCGACCAAAAAGGTTCACCTCAAGCCGCCAGCCGCAAGCCCCGCCTGGATCGACAAAGCAGCACCAGAATCCCCAGCAGCAGCAGGCACCGAGACATCAAGCACCATGAAAGGAGTCACCGGTCCAGCTGCGCAAACCCGAGCATCGTGGCATGGTTCCACTAGCTCCTCCAGTTTTCGAAGTTAGAATAAGTTGGTACCCGATTTTTTTCTGTAGTCTATAGTAGGGGAGCCCTCCCAACCAAAAAAGGGGTGAGAAAGGGCACTACTGGGGGACCTAGTTCCAGCATGAATGACACGTCGAAATCACCAACCCTTGCTGTTTTAAGGGCTTGGGGTGTACAAAAGGGTCGAGTTACCTTGGGCTTGGGGTTACTTAGATGTCATCCATCCGGCAGACTTATGCCATGTGTTCAAAACTTTTTAGCTGAAGTCTGCCATTCTAGACCTGGGTGTGCAAAATAGGGGCACCAAACAATGGGTTGACATTGCCAAACAGAAAATCAAGGGTACCTTCAAAGCAATCACAACCCATAAGTTTTGCATGGTTTGAGGCCTTTCGGCTCGGCCTGTCCCTGTCCCTTGGAGCAAAGGGGCAGCACTCAAATGCCAAAGAGCCAGCACACGTAAGGTGACTGGTTGAAGGTATCGGCGCCTTGTCAAATGCCATGGGCATCCCAGCTGGGCATGGGTTATTCTAAGGGAACGCAACGGACAATCTCTCTTTTCAGGTATCGATTTTTTGAATTCTAATTGAACAAATCAAAGAGGGAGGCCACATAGCTCGGTGCTGGCATCCCGAGACGCGCGCGCGCGCGCGCGCCAGAGCCACGGTTTTTTTCGCCACGCGGTCGCTCTTTGAGGCCCTTGATGCGCACTTGCACCAGCGCCTTTGCCTCGAGTCAAGGCACAGGAAGAAGTGGGAACTATACCCCCCTGCAAATTAACATGGAACCTCGAAAGGGGGGGGGGAGACAAATTCCTCGAAAAATGACCGGCTTTGTGAGTTCCATGTTAAACCCACAGGGGAGCTAAGTTCGGAGCGTGGGCCGCGCTGGGTATTGTCACACTGGTTGCAGGCAAGGTGCTTGAAGGCCTAAGCTGGGCACAGGGGCGCCATCTGAGCTATGGCGAACGTGCGCTGACTGTTGCTTACAGGGCTTGGGGAAATTTACGGTTCCATCCCCATCATAATCTAATCTATCAGAGGTATTGTGATCTTTCCAATTTGTCCAGCCCCCCCCCCCGTTTAGCACCCAAAGAAGCAACTTGGTCGACCCTCTTCCAAGGTTTCCCCCCTCGAAGCGATTTTGTTTCCTTAGCAGCCTTAGCAGTCTGTATTTGGGCGTTGGGTTTTGGATCTGCGCTGACCAGGTGGCTTTGGCACGAGGCAAAGCCTTGCCACAACGAGTCTATTTTGCAGCCAAGAGCGCCAACAGACCAATAAGGTTGTTGCAAAATGGGCCCTGAGTGGCCATCACAGGGGATTTGTCTATGGTCCATTTGAGGTTCGGGACATACAGCACGAGCCTCCAAATGTAAATCACAAAACCAGGGCTGTTGATCGCACCCAGTTCTTGCCTTCTGGTTTTCCACCCCTCCAAACCACCAAGAGGGAAGCTGAGAAAGTGTAATGTGGGCTGTCCGCAGATCCCCTGCTAAAAGTTCAACTTTTTACCGGGGTTATATGGAACCCCCTGCTAAACCCTAAAACCACTTAACCCAAGTGGACAGCTGCCAAGCAAAACGTGGGGTTTGTCCGTTCTTGAGGGTCCCTCTTTTGTGGCCCCCATTTTGCGCGCCCACCATTTTGAGAGTCCAAGGGGCGGGTTTTGGGCATGAGCGTTTTCTGGCGCTCCCGGGTCCAGGCAGCCACAGCCTTGGGCCACCCACCTCGGTCGACAAACTCAGGGTACCTTCTGCAGATGGTTGCGAAATCCGTGCGCACTTTGAAAGTGTAGGCACCCATTTGCTGGCATTTCAGAGGGGGAATCCTTCTTCCAAGGTTTCTTAGGTGGTGCGAAATGGATCCACCCTGGGGCTGATCGTATCGACTCCTCCCTTTCGCACACCGAGAGGTAAACCCACCAACCTTGTTGGGTCCCAGGTCAGAAGCATCAGGCCTGAAGGACGGCAAGACTCCCTTGCCCAGGGAATAATCCAATGGTCTTCTAAAAGAGATCTGTGCACTTCCATGTTAGTTGGGAGGGTAACCAATTTGGTGTCAGTGTGCGGGTTTTGTGGAAAGTACCCTTTAATGATGGTTGGGACTAAGAAGCACAAAAAAGCGATTCCGGGGGGCCCACACACGCTATTGGTGTCTAACCCTGGTTATAACCCACTCTGGGGACTACCATACGTGGGCTAGAACCATGGTTAACCACTTGGCCAAGTCCCAAACCTTGAAGGCAAAGTGGAGTTGGTACCTCGTTGGGGGTGGGTTCGGCTTTTTGGGGCGGCGTGTTGGGCTGTCGTTTTCGCCTCGCTTCACCAAGTCTCCCAGGAGGTCGTCATCAAAGAGCTCCGGCTCGTCGCCCGGCAAGTCTTGGGAAGCAGGCAGCCCTGCCAGCGCAGTCCCCCCCCCCCACCCATGGCTTGGATGGTCTGGGAGGTAGCTAAGTGGTTAGCAACCCTGGGCGCAACCCACTTACTATGGTTGTAAGTCGACTAAAACCAGGGTTGCTAACCATTTAGCGAAGTCCCGGACCATCCAAACAAAGTGATCCCGCCTTGGAAAAGTGCTAAAAGAGTTTCAAAAGAGTGCAACATTTCGTGGAATGCCGCCTAGCCCGCCCCCAAGTGGGGCATGCACACGTCCATGACTGTTCGAAACGGAGTGCCTGCTGTGACCAGGCTTGTTGAATTCTAGGGGCCATCGTTGAAAGACTTGCCTAGCAAAACCCCACATCAGAAGAATTGAGTTCGAGAAAAAGAACCTGGCAGTAACATTAACATTCTTAGGCTCTTCAGTCCGTTCCGAACCCACCAATAAAAACTGAACACAACTGAACACATTTTTCCCTTCGCTCTCTTAACGCATCACTCCACCTGAAGGAAAAGCACGATAATCAGGCCTAGAAGGTGATGCGACCCACCAGGAGGAGGAAACGCAGTCAATTTGGTTTTAAGTAGGCCCGGGCTAACAACCTAATGAAATCAATAGTAGAAAACAACTACTCAAATGGCTAATCCTGCGCATGGGTGAAACCCGATGAAGAAAAGGGTAAACCATCAACAAAATGTAGGATTTCGTCCATCCTGCTCACCTGAGTCAAAACCAACTACCTAGAAATAGAGGGGCCTACCCAAGGCCCATTTTAAGGCCCATGTTTGATGCAATCCGTGCAAAAGAAAAACAAAAAGGCGGATATTTCCGCACCTATACTAGGTCCTCCAGTAGAGAGGTTAGACTAAGGGTACCAACTTCTTGCTGTAGTCTATAGTAGGGGAACCCTCCCAACCAAAAAAGGGGCGAGAAAGGGCACCTAGCTGGGGGACCTACTTTGTTTACCACTACTGTTGACTCCATATTAATCAACCCTAGGTTCTTAGCGGGGGGGTGGTGTTCTCTTCTCCAAAAGTTGACCTTAGCTGGCGCGATCCCGTAACTCCTTCCGCTCACATCGCCGCCTGCGCGCCGGGCCGCCCCCTCGAGCCGCCGGCGCCCCGCCAAATCCCCGCGGGAGCGGCACCTGCCTCGGCGACGCGGCGACGCGGGCGAGGTGGGCCCCAGATGGCTGTGGGTCATTTTTAGGTACCCCAAATGGCATCCTAGTAAGTGGAAACATGGACCAACACCTGCGGCCCCCTGGTGGTTTAACTTTGACCCATACCCAGATCTGCTTTGAGGCTTTTGAGGCCTGGTGAATCCAGAACCTCACAACCCCCCTTTGAGCAAAGAACCCTTTTTGGAGATGTTTTGAAGGCAACAGATGCCGAAAGGAAGCCAATGTGGAGCTCCCTTTCCGAAGACACGCGCAAATAAGATTGAAATGCGGAGTTATTTCCGCCACAGGGCTCCATGAGTGAAAAACCCTTGGTTCTGACATCCGGCATCTGAGGGCTCTACTCCAATGTTTACAGAGGGATTTGTCTCCACCAACCTTTGGAGGGTGCTGCCATGAAAATTCAGATCGCCCCAGCCACGGTCTCAGAATTTGCTACTCCCGTAAAAGTGCACTTCAAATTTTAGCGCTCGTTGAAATGTGGAGGCTCGTCCCCCATGTCCTTCTCACACAAACAATGCACAATTCCGGACATTGGGGATTCCCCTGACATGGCTCGTGTTTTTGCGAGTGTCCCTTGTCACCTTGGTCTAAAGGAAAGCCACAAATCCAAATCCCAAACTTTGACACATGGACACCCAAAACTTGGTTGTGCTTTCCGTTTCCCTTTAAAACCAACCCATAAAAGTAGGCCCAGGTGATATCTCCAACAACGCCGGAGCCTACTGGAACCCTCCAGAACCCTCCCTGAAACCTGCTCCAAACCACACATCTTATTTGGGCAGAGACCTCGTAGCTTCCAGCTGTTGGGGAACACCCCCCCAACAAAAAAAAAAAAAAGAGACAACACCACTCGCAAAACATACCCACGTGGGTTTCTCAACCTTGGGGATCCCGCCGAGGCCGGCAGTTTCCTTTTCGTTCCCGGGCAAAACCATCCAACAGGACAGGATCCAAGCCCCACTCTCCCAACTCCCAGCCTTAGCCCACTGAGATGCGAAAGAATAAAGGGCTCAGAAAACTAAACCTTCTGAAACCTCTTTACATAAAAAGAAGAGGGGAACAAAAAGAGAAAAACGGGGAACAAAAAAAAACCGGCAAAAGCAGAAATTATCCTGTTGGCCTGGCTTTTTTTAAGAGGATCGCCTCTCAGAAAACCGCCTCTTGGATGCGCAAAGCTCGAGTCGCCTCGGCTCGGGGCCCGGCTCGGGGCTTCGGGGCTTCGGGGCTTGGGATCCGAGCCGCTCGCGGGCTCCGAAGGCTCCCAGCTCAGCGCCAGCACGTCGTTGTCGCGGATCAGCACGGCCGGCTCCTGGCAGGCGCCACAAAAGCAAAAAAAGAAACAAGGACCTACATGGCTTAGAGCTGTTCATGTGCTTTCGTCTTTCTTTTGTTTTAGTGCTGGTGGGTGTCTTTTTTCGGTGTTCATAGATGTTTATGGGCTAGGCGTCGTGTGTTTAGTCTTAGATGCACTGGTTCATCTAGGTCTCTGAGACCGCACCGCTCTGGGGCCCGCGCCATTGGTGGCAGCATGAAGCCATCCAGGCAAAGACGCGCCTACGGCCAGGGCAAAAATCGGCTTCGCTCGAAAACACATGGCGCATCGTTCTTTCTTTAGGTACTTTGTTCCGAGTGTCTTTGTTGAAAGGACCCCAATTAGGTTGGTTTTTGTTTGTGGTGTTTAGTGGTTTTAAAGGGAAACCGAAAGGACAACCGCCATTTTGGATGGTGATCGACAAGAAATGACAGACCCACATGTGAGCGAGAGTCGAATTCACTTGCTCCAACCAAAAAGCACAGGGGACATTGAGCGGGGCTCCGGCTACCAAGATGGCTAGAAAGCCAGCCTTTCTGTACTTCCCTCGCTAAATCAGGCAGCGGAGCACCCCAAGATCTGTCACTTTTTTATTTATTTATTTTTCCCCTGGCACACTGGACATCTCTCGCTTCTACGGATCGGCCAATTGTTTCTTCTGCATCGCCGGCAATCTGTTGGTGGCTTGCGCCAAAAAAGTCAAGCCTGATCACATCAGTTGCTCAACTGATGTGAGCTGACGGCCCCTCGGCTGACTCATAGTCTGAAAAACTTGGTCGCAGAACCAATGGCTACCAGGAACATCTATTTCAAGAACCTCTCAAAGAGCATCCACCACGCCCTTCTGCAACGCCTTCTTGTTCAGGATGTTCTTGAGGGACAGGTCGAGGCCGTGCGTGGGAGCGTAGAGGTTCTCAGGGTCAGTGTAGCCCCACTCAAGGACAATGCCGCCAAGGAGAGTTGGGTCAACCTCGGGGACAAGCTTCACATCGGTGGTGCCCACCTTTGCAAGCATCTTCTCCTTGATCTTGTCAAGCTGCTCCGCGCTCAGACGCTGAGCAGAGGTCACCTTCACAGGCGTGATGGATTCCTTGAAGTACATACTCTGAACATACTCCAGCATGATAATTTTCAGGCCCTTAAGACGACGCTTCTTCGCCAGGAAGACGATGAACTTGGGCATCACAGTGGACTTCAACGGGCTCAGCGTCTTGATGATCTCTTCGCCCTTTGCCACCTCCGTGAACGATGGATCGTTCTGAATGTTGAGCAACTTCATCAGCCAGTCCTCCACTTTGAACAGGTCCTTCACCTTGAGCACATCCTGTGTGACCTTCACATCCTCGCCCTTCTCCTTTGCTGCATCCATGAGTGCCTTTGCATAGGTGACAACTGGCCCGTACGGCCGCAGCATCGACTGATCCGCCTGCCGCTGCGTGAGCGTTCGCTGTCTTGCAGCAACTCCTCGGTCAGCAGCACGGCCGAAGCTGGCGCTCAAAGATGGTGTGAAGGCCAATCTCCCAACCAAAGCGCAGGCAAGAGCCGCCAGCACCACCAGGCCACGTGCCATGGCTCGTGCTGATTTGGGGGAACAGGGCAAGACTAGGCGAGACTAGCGAACTCCAAATCCCTTGATCGCCGGCATTGCTTGATTTGCAGGTGCAAAAAGCGGTCCTATTATGGGTTCCTTTCTGACGTATTCTTGCGCCTGCATGTTGTTATCTATTTGGCAAATTGCCGCTTGCGCAGCTCTTGCTTGCACTTTTCCACACGCTCTTGAAAGAGGTTGGTCACGACATCTCGGGACATCCAGGAAGCATCACAAGAACCACTACAAAGAAAGACACTAGATTTGCTCCTCACTTGATGTACAGGAGAATTGGGATAGCAGCTGCGGCCAATGCAACAAAATGAAACTTGTCAACAAAGCTGAAACAGTTCTGGCCAACTGCCTGACTGACCTGAGCAAGGCTAGCTCAAAGAGCATCCATAACACTGTGTGGCGTCGGGAATCGGTCAAGGCAGTGTCTGGAAGCACAGTGAGATGTTAGTGGGGTCAGCGCACATACCCACAATGCCGTCAGCAGGGCTGGGTCAACTCAGGGACCAGCCCTTCGACTGACTCATAGTCTGAAAAACTTGGTCGCAGAACCAATGGCTACTAGAAACATTGTTTTTAAAGAACCTCTCAAAGAGCATCCACCACGCCCTTCTGCAACGCCTTCTTGTTCAGGATGTTCTTAAGGGACAGGTCGAGGCCGTGCGTGGGAGCATAGAGGTTGATGGGGTCAGTGTAGCCCCACTCAAGGACAATGCCGCCAAGGAGAGTTGGGTCAACCTCGGGGACAAGCTTCACATCGGTGGTGCCCACCTTTGCAAGCATCTTCTCCTTGATCTTGTCAAGCTGCTCCGCGCTCAGACGCTGAGCAGAGGTCACCTTCACAGGCGTGATGGATTCCTTGAAGTACATGCTCTGAACATACTCCAGCATGATAATTTTCAGGCCCTTAAGACGACGCTTCTTCGCCAGGAAGACGATGAACTTGGGCATCACAGTGGACTTCAACGGGCTCAGCGTCTTGATGATCTCTTCGCCCTTTGCCACCTCCGTGAGCGATGGATCGTTCTGAATGTTGAGCAACTTCATCAGCCAGTCCTCCACTTTGAACAGGTCCTTCACCTTGAGCACATCTTCTGTCACGGAAACGTCCTCGCCCTTCTCCTTTGCTGCATCCATGAGTGCCTTTGCATAGGTGACAACTGGCCCGTACGGCCGCAGCATCGACTGATCCGCCTGCCGCTGCGTGAGCGTTCGCTGCCTTGCAGCAACTCCTCGGTCAGCAGCACCGCCGAAGCTGGCGCTCAAAGATGGTGTGAAGGCCAATCTCCCAACCAAAGCGCAGGCGAGAGCCGCCATCACCACTAGGCCACGTGCCATGGCTCGTGCTGATGTCGGGGAACAGGGCAAGACTAGGCAAGACTAGGCAAGACTAGCGAAGTCCAAATCCCTTGATCGCCGGCAGTGCTTGTTTTGCAGGTTTGACACACTCATACATAAGCGCAAACACCAGCGTACTAAAACAAAAAAACTTGCCAAGCCCGCGCCAGCGCAACCACACGCAGCGCTGCACACCCCCACCACTTGGCTACCCATGCTAAGCACATCAGGTCAGTATGGATGGTAGCAAGTCTTGAAAAGGTGTGAAACCGCATGCCATTACAAATCAGCCTCGTCAGAATTAATCCTGCTATTGCCCGAAGGGATCCAAGATCAAGCAAGAACGTCTATGGGTGGCATCAGCGCATCACTCAATCTCCAGCTTGCACGGAACCTGCAGCAAGCAAGCTAGCAGTTGACGGTCCTCTCCTGACAGCCAGTGCTGCAGCAATTGAAATTGGTTCAACAAGAATTCAAACATCCTTGGTGCAAACGGCGGTCCTATTGCGCCTATTGCAATTCCTTTCTGACGTATTCTTGTACCTGCATGCGGTTCTCTGGCACGTTGCCGCTTGTGCAGCTCTTGCCGTTTTCCACGCGCTGTTGCAAGAGGTTGGTCATGACGTCTCAAGACATCTAGGAAGCACTGCAAGAACCACTACAAAAAGAGACACCAGATTTGCTCCTCACTTGACGTACAGGAGAATTGGGAAAGCAGCTGCCGCCAATGCAACAAATCAAACACGTCAACAAAGCTGAAACAGTTCTGGCCAACTGCCTGACTGACCTGAGCAAGGTTAGCTCAAAGAGCATCCACCACGCCCTTCTGCAACGCCTTCTTGTTCAGGATGTTCTTAAGGGACAGGTCGAGGCCGTGCGTGGGAGCGTAGAGGTTCTCAGGGTCAGTGTAGCCCCACTCAAGCACAATGCCGCCAAGGAGAGTTGGGTCAACCTCAGGGACAAGCTTCACATCGGTGGTGCCCACCTTTGCAAGCATCTTCTCCTTGATCTTGTCAAGCTGCTCCGAGCTCAGACGCTGAGCAGAGGTCACCTTCACAGGCGTGATGGATTCCTTGAAGTACATGCTCTGAACATACTCCAGCATGATAATTTTCAGACCCTTAAGACGACGCTTCTTCGCCAGGAAGACGATGAACTTGGGCATCACAGTGGACTTCAACGGGCTCAGCGTCTTGATGATCTCCTCGCCCTTTGCCACCTCCGTGAGCGATGGATCGTTCTGAATGTTGAGCAACTTCATCAGCCAGTCCTCAACTTTGAACAGGTCCTTCACCTTGAGCACATCCTGCGTGACCTTCACATCCTCGCCCTTCTCCTTTGCTGCATCCATGAGTGCCTTTGCATAGGTGACAACTGGCCCGTACGGCCGCAGCATCGACTGATCCGCCTGCCGCTGCGTGAGCGTTCGCTGCCTTGCAGCAACTCCTCGGTCAGCAGCACGGCCGAAGCTGGCGCTCAAAGATGGTGTGAAAGCCAATCTCCCAACCAAAGCGCAGGCGAGAGCCGCCAGCACCACCAGGCCACGTGCCATGGCTCGTGCTGCTACGAGGAGAACAGGGCAAGACTGGGCAAGACTAGCGAGCTCCAAATCCCTTGATGTCGCCAGGCGGGTTCTTCGCTGATCGCCTAGCCGTAACATCTAACACCTGCCGTCCCCTGTCAAGGAAGGAAGTTCAAAATCATTCGCTCTTTCACGCGGCCCATGAAGCCTACGATTCAGCATCGCCTTTCCGAATGGGGCTGAAGCGCCCGAAGCAAGTCTTGGCTAGTCTGGCCTGCCAACCCATCCCTACATGACCACATGCCATTAGCCCGGAGGTCATGGATTCGACTTGTATGGTTTGGCTTCTTCATATGTCATGAGCAGGTTTAGAGTGGCATGTTGCGACCACATTCATACAGGATGGTGCCAAGTCCAGGGGGAACCCTGGAAACGACCAAAAGCGCATCACACGTCAGCGCTCTAAGCGCCTTCTCGACACCCAGGCGTTGGGCCAAGAAGGCGGAGACTTCGCAGACGTGCTGCAGGTCCGCGGGGAGCGACATCAGAAACCTGCTGTGGGCCAGCTTGACACGGGCCATGCTGAAGCCCCACACAGGGATCCTTACACTATACACCTGAACATTGCCTTGTAAATGGTGGTTTCCCTTTATTTTGGTGGAAAAAGCCATGTTTCAAATGGTGGCAAAATGCATCTTTTAAGGAGCCCTGCCACATTGGCGAGATTTGCGGACGTTCCCGATCCGGCTCCAACCCTGGAGCCCGAACGGAGAAATCAATCCGCGCCTGGGAAGTGCCATCCTGCTTTCAGCTTTGCAGTTGGTGGTTTGGAGCCGATTCGGTGGTTTGGTGGTGAAATGGAGTTGGGTTCCCGGACAAAGCCTCTAAAGCCAGGGGTTCAAATCCAAATCCAAACCACCAATTCAAATCACCAACTAAGGGATATGTGATGTTTTGACAATGGCTCCAGCGAGCGCATGTCAAAACAAGGGGGGGATAGACGCACGGCTTCTGATTGGTCGCTGGCGTTCGAAGACTGTGGCTCTCTGGTGGGCTGCCTGCCAAACTTGAGCCATACGAGGCGCATCGCCGCAAAGCGCTCGATGCCCAGCAATCACTCACCCAACTTCAGGAGAGTCACAATCAAAACCCGATATTCAAATGGTCGTAATCCCAGAACCATGCTTCAAGAATTAAGAAGGCGGATATCCGCAACTATTTCTGGCTGGGACTGCCCCTTGCTAACCTTCATCTACCCGGGTTTTGAGCACCTGGCTCATGGTTTCCGCCAGCCGAACCGCGGGTTCCATAGACACCCTCTGAAGGAAGTTCTTCGCATGTTCCCCGCAGGCGCGCCGGCGTGGTCACCTTTCTTCCCATCTCCGAACAGTGAATTTGCAGGCGCGCCACTAAGCAACGGTCCATCTCTTAAGATCCGCATCTCGGGTCCATAAAGTGAAGAGTTTGGCAGGGAAGCCCCTTTTTCGATGGTTCCTAAAATAATCGAACCCAGCGGTGGGAAGCCCCTTTTCTGGCTTTATTCCTTCTGGGTCGCCCAAAATTGGGCCGCATTTTGAGGGCTTCTCAAATTTATGCTTTTGGGGGGGGTTCAGGCATCGTCTACAGGGCAATTTTGCAGTCACTTCAAGAAGTCCAGGCAAGGCTTTGGGACTGGGTGGTACAAAACTCCGGACTGAGAGTTGGGCCTGCAAGCATTCACTCTGCCTGTCGAAATTAATGCAGCTTCCGGGGGCAGGACCCGCTCACCTGAATCTGAGTGGCGCAAAGGTATATATGCCTGGCGTTCCTTCAAAACAAAACAAGAAGGGTACCCTCAAAAAAGGCAGAGGTCTAGCTGCCTGGAAAGGTTCGTGGCCTGTCCCCTTCAGCTGAAGCAGGATGCTGCTGTGTGAGACTCTCGCACCGGCGCCTTTGGCCCGCAACACCGGATACCGCCGGATGCCGCGTGCCAGCCTTCGTTGTGGCTTGGCGCCCCGTGCCGCTAAGCTCCAACAGTGAGCCGTGGAGCTTTTCCAAGGGACTGCGGAGCTTTCTCTGGGATCTCTCTGGACTTCGCTTCAAGTTACCTTTGTGTTTTTCTCGCGGCGCGCCCACGCCGCCTTTCGGCGCACTGCTCCAGAACTTCAATACTCCGCTGGACGAAGCCTCAAATGAGCTGGTTCAGCTTCAGCGCTCCGCGGTTGTGAGTCTGGGCGTTGGCTCCCGCTTTGCCCGCAGGCTCCAAAACACCTCGGGAAGGCTGACGTACGAATCACCTTCATGACGAGCGTTTTTTTTTGTCAATGTGATGAATGCTCGAAGTCTTAGCCAATGAATCATATCTTAGCAAATGAATCATGTCTGCCACATGCGGTCTGCATGCGACAAAGCTCAGCTTCATTTTTGTGCGATGTCCGTCCGACTGCAAGTCCAAGGCGCCCATCCTGATGGCCTGAACTTTCGCCTCGCGCGCATTTGTGGGAAAAACCTCTGATTTGCCGCTCAAGGCAAGCAAATTTGGGTGACCTATCGAATCGACTCTACCAAAGGGGTTCGATCGGATGCCGACATTATCCTGTGGCGCAGGAGACATCGGACCCCATTTGTCACCCACTGACGCTCCATCCACCCCCTGGCCTTCTTCCGAGATTTGAGCTCACCTGCACGTGGCTGCTGTGCGAAGCCCTTCCACAACCCAAAACTTGAGGGAAAATCGAGGGATTCCACAGGAACCCCGGATTTCAATAACCCCTGGTCGACTTCTTTACGTGGTGTCCTTAAAAAAGGCACAAGGACCCATCACCCGGAGAAGCACCTTCCGCGAAATCAACGAATTCTGCTTTCACTTCCTGAGATATTCTCCGCGCCCCGCCTTCGGGGCACATGTGGCAATAGGTGCAATCGAAGCCGCTGTTGCAGCCTCTTGCTTTCCAGAACCACGCGCACGGGCTGCACCTCAAAGAAAGGCCGAAATACAAAGCTGTGACCACGAGTGCATGCGGGAAAGACCCAGCAGCGCCTTGCTCAGCTTGCGTCCAATTGGTGGTTTGGAGCGTGGGTGGTGGCTGGGTGGTTTAGGGGTGGTTGGTCATTTGCCTTTTACACCAAGGGTTCAACTGCCCAGGCCACCAATCCAAACCACCAATTCGGGGGTGCACGACTTACTGCCGTTTGCCGAAACCATCCTTGCGGCCTAGGGTTTGGTCCCCAATCACCCCTCAAATTACCCCCCCAGCCACCCCCACCCCCAACCACCCCCACCCCACCCCTCTGCCTGCCGGTGCCATGCAACGCAGAGCCCTTCGAGGCCAAGTTCGGGTTGTGGCCCTCGAAGGTCGACGGGTCCATCGCCTCGTTGAAGAGCTGCCTGGAATCGACCGACGGGGGTTGGGGGGTGTGGGGAGGGTTGGGGGGGGGGGGGGGGGGGGGGGGGTTGGGGGGGGTTGGGGGGGGTTGGGGGGACACAATACTTGGAATGAGATGTCTGCTTGGTGCTTACATGTTCAGGGACTTAGCTAGTGCCAGTGGCAGACTGAGCCGCCAGGGCCGTCCTGCACTTGGGGTTGATCGCCCAGCTGTTCTGCGGCGAATCGCTAAATGGTTGACGGTGCTGGCCTTCTCGAGGACTTGCCACCATGGTAAATGGGAGTTACACCTAGGGCAAAGCTACCCACTTGGCGATTCCTCCCAGGCCAGCTAAGTATCCAGGTTACGTTGAAAGGTTGAGTATTAGAGGGAACCCCAAACCGAAGTCCGATTTTTAGGGGGGATCCCGATTTTGCCACATAGCGGGGTTGCTTCATGTTTGCAAACTGCCTTTAGGTCATTTGCTTTTTCTGGGCGTTTGCTGCACAATAGAGGCCTTGCGGGACTGCCCAAACGACCTCCCGCTGCCTGCCCGCGGCATGTTGCAGGGCAGCGTCGCTTACGGGGCCTGCCAGGTCGGGCAAGACGAGCATTTCCCAACATGGTTCTTGGTGTGGGACGAATCCCTAAATGGTTCGTAACCCTGGCTTCGGGGACTTACAGCCACGGCTTTGGTGGGTACCAGGGTAAAGCTAACCGCACGCACCCCTTGGATGAGCCAAAGTACCAACCCTGTGAATCAGGCTGTGGGAAATGGAATCCACGTCTGCGTACAACAAAACAGGCTTCCTCAAGACACAGAAAGGTTGTATAAACCCCGAGTGATCTCACAACCCTGCTGTTACCTTGCCTTTTCGTCACTTGCAACGAGGTCAACTCCACTCCGTGGACAATCAATGGTGGGCTGGGAGCAGGCGGCATTCGTCTTAAAGGTGAACCCGCAAAACGCTTGGTGACCTTCCACCAAGCAATCCTGAAAATGGGCACCGAAAGGAAGTGCACCCACCAGGGATCCCGACCATGCTTTTGGTTTCCCTTCAGGGGCTGGGGCATGGTTGTTGAATCAGATTGGGCAACCAACCCTGGAGTGTGAAACATGTGGCAAGCAAATTCTTGGCTGTCCTTTCCTTCTGGCTTCCCTTCAAACCAACCTGAAAACGGCACCCTCAGGAATGCGCGCGCACACACACACACACACACACACACGCACACACGTGCGCCCACCCTGTGATGGCCTGCATCTACCGGCTGCTCCGCGGGAACTGGCGAGGAGGGCGCCGGAACAGGGGCTGGCGCTTGCGCCCGTGGGGCTGGAGCTGGAGCCGGCGCCATGAACACCACCTGGCATCCAAAGGCTCGGGCAACGGGTTGCCATGCGCCAGCCCTTTCTGGAACCCGGTCGTTCCTTCCCGCTTCACCCCAAACGGGCGCCCCAGCTTACAGAAAAGGGCCGAAAAGCCCTCCTTCCAAGGTCAAAATATATGCCTCTGCCAGCTTCCAGGCAAGCTGCTGGTTTACCCACGTGTCACCTCAAGATTTTACATAGTTTCCCTGGGCTTGGTTCCCGCACTTCCCGCACTTCCCAAACCCGAATGGGCCATAGAGCCATGGGATGCGGCCTGTGCACCGGAGGTGACCACGGGAGTCTTCGGTGGTCAAGTCACCCTAGCAGTCCCTTGTGTTTGGTGCTGGCAGCGTGAGCTCGTTTAACCCCCGAAAAGGTGAGCTCGGTTGTCAACTTGCACAGAACTATTGGTGCTTGATAAGAAGGCCGGGGCAACCAAGGTAAGAGGACTAACCCTTGCTAGCCCACTTACAACCATGAAAATAGCGAAGCCTTTCACAGGGGTTAAAGTCGATGACAAGATTCCTTTTCTGTCCGCAAAGCAACAAGATACTAAAACCTGAATGCCCAAAAAGGTTGCGCCTAGAGATTGTCCTTCGTCAGAGAAGTAGCTTGCAAACCCTTGCTTGCAGTGGAAGGTCGCTTCGTAGGTGGGCAGTAACCTAGTAGCCCTGGCGGCAACCCACTTGCCACGGTTTGTATGCCACTTTCCGTGGGATAGGAACACGGTGACTCGCCACGTGCTACCCCCAAGTTGGCTGTGTCGGAGGCCTGGCCAGGCTGCTGGGCGACAGGCATCGGAAAGAAGCCGTGCGCACTCTGCGCAGCGGGCATCTGGCGAACCGGGCCAGCCGCTTTGACAGGCGGAGGTGCGGGGTCCCAAATGGGTGCAGAATTCATCTGGAGGTGTTGCAGTGTTGTTTTTCTTGTTTCTTTTTGGAAATTCTTTACGATTTCTCTCCAAACAGGTTCCTCTAAGCAGAGCTTTTGTGGGGAGCACCTCCGCAGTATTCGGGGTGAATGCGACTCGACTTGGCAGGACTTCGGAACAGTCCTTGGCGCTCACTTGATTGGGTCTTTCATGGCTCCCCTTCATGCCAAAAAACAACATTTGCCCTCGACATGGGAGAAGAAGTGGTTTGTTGTACGAGCACATTCTCACTTGCATGCCGGACATATTGTTGCCAACTCTCAAAAAGGCTCTATATAGAGAGCGAGCCAGGACAAAGCCATGATTCTTCCTTTGTGTTTTCCCTTCAAAACCCAAAAAAACACATGCAACACCGATATGGCTTCTCCCTGGTCACGGAGACCTGGGAAATATGTCACGTTTGGCGTGTGCCCTGGCCTGCATGAAGACCATCTGAGCTCCTTCAGGAAGATTCTGTTGGGCGCCTCCTCGGATTCGGATGGGAGACTTGTCCCAATCTAGTTGGCGTCCCGTTCTTCAAAACAAACCAAAGGGGGGGTCCCCAAGCAGGACACATCCGCTGCAGATCTCTCCTTGCATCGGCATCTGCTGCATCGGCACCTGACGACCAGAATTTTGCAAGTCAAGGACTTCGTGGAATCGAATCAGCACGTAAAGGATCTTGAATTTGGACCCCTTTGGCTGAAGGGTGGCGAACATGATAAAAATTGCAACATCTACTTCACCTTGATGTAGCCCCCGAATCCGTGGAACTGATTTGCCACCTGCATTGTCACCGGCATCTGCGGGTGCATCTGCGGGGACGCATACGTCACGGGCGAGCCCGCGGGGGATGTTGCCACCTCCCAGGGGGCCGCTTGACGAATGCCACAGAAACCACTCGTAGGGATCCAAAACTCGGGATAAATGGCCTCTTGACCCCCAAAGACCGCAAATGGTCAACCACGGTACGCACCAAACTGTTTGTGAGTTTCAATTGGTGGCTTGGGAAGGTACCCTCCTAAACCAAAATCGGTGGTTTTGCTTTTGTGCCCCTTCAAGGCCACCCAAAACACGGTGTTCCTTTTGTTCCCCTTCAAACCCACCCAAACAATGGTTTCACCTGTTGTTCGCCTTCAAATTCGCCCAGGCAGTGGTTTTACCCTATGTTCCCCTTCAACCACCCAATCAGCGGTGTTACCTGCTGTTCCCCTTCAAACCCACCCAAGAAAGACCACCAAGGAAATTGTTTCCAGCTGTTCGCCTTCAAGGTGTTACCTGTTGCTTCCCTTTCCTTAATTCCCATTTAAGCCCGCCCAAGCAGTTTTCCAGTTGCACCCCTTCAAACCACCCGCGCAACGGTGTCCCTTTGCTCACACCCACCAAACCCAGCCAAATAGCAGTTTACCCTTTGTGCCCCTTCATGCCCACCCAAAGAATGGCTTACACTATGTTCACCTTCTACCCACCCAAGGTTACATGTTGCTCTGCTTCAAACCCACCCAAAGAAGGTTTTCCACTTGAACTCCCCAAAAAAATGGATTGCCTGTTGCCCCCCTTCAAACCCACCCTAGCAATTGTTTTCCAATTGCGCCCCTTCAAACCCACGCTAACAATGGTTTCCCCCTTTAAACCCAAAGCAGCGGATTCCAGCCGCTCGCCTTCAAACCCACTCCAACTATGCCGGCAGGGGCTTGAAAGAGTGTTCGGAAATGATATCTTACACATACAACAAGGCCTCTTGGAAGGAAATCCTTGCAGGTTCTGCGTAAGAAGGACCAGTGCAAAGTCAGCTATCTTTGGAATTTTTACAGGCTCTGTGCGCAAGATCTCTTGGCAAGATCTGCGCGCACGATCTCTTGCTAGGTCTTTTGGGGAGATTTGTGCGCAGAATCCTTGAGACGGGCTGTGCGAGACCTCTTCAGAGGATCTTCTCTACAAAGGGCCCCCACAAAATATCTATGGAGGATCTTCGCAGGATCTTTGCAGGATCTCTGTGCAAGATGCCTGGGTAGGGCCTCTTGGCAAGATTTTCGCCCAGGATCCATCAGAGAGGATAGTGTATATGCAATTTCTCTGTTCAAGAACTGTCGGGACCGGATCTCTTGCCAAGATTTGCGCGCAGGAGCCTGTATAAACTGGAGTGCTCCCAAAACCTACCAGATCTCTTACAGGACACGTACTTCGATGTTTGTAATTTGCACCGCGCCACAACGAGAGCGATGCGAGCCACCTAGAATCCGCAAAGGGTTCGCTTGCGGTGTTTAAATTGGCACCGCACCGAAGTCTGCAGAAGGTCCGAGCGTCACCACAGCGAGACCCCAAACAGGAACAGACACCCACAGCCAACCACTTTGTGCGAGCCTGCGCAGTCGAAACGCACATACAGTCGAAAAGCTCAGCCCAGATCCCGGCCAAACACTTTGCGGGAGCCTGCACGGTCGAAACGCATTTCCAGATTTTACAAAGTCACGACTCTGTACATAAATGCCATAAAACATGGTCCAGACCAAATCGCCCCCGACTTCACCCAGATACACATGCCCAAGGCCAAGGCCTGCTGCATAGGCGCGGGGGCTGAAGCCGGCGCAGGCATAGGCATAGGCATAGGCTGCGTGAGCGGGCCCGGGCCCGGGACGCCGAAGCTGCACATCCCATCGTGGCCTCGTGGGTCTGCGAGACATGCGCCATGGCCAAAACGCTGTAAATACCGTGGATCGACGAAATACTGCACCACCTAAGAAACCCTGGAATGACCATTTTCGTGTAAATAGCAGCAAGCAATGGCTTCCCATGGTTGTCCATCCACAGTATGGAGCCAGTGTGGGGCCCAAAACGAACCTGGGGCTGTCGTTTTGAAAGGGCGCCTTCCTTTTGGGGTTGAGTTGCGGCTCGTCATTTTTGGAGTTGCTACCCGTTTTGGGGTCTAAAGGGCAACCAAAAGGAAGCCGCCATGTTTGACCCGTATGGCCTATTGTCATGGTTCCCTTAACGGATATTAAGGAAAGTGTACTACCAGGTGGATGATCCCTGCAAACCAAAGGCCCATGTCGACATGGTTGCCAAGCCACCTGAGCGGCGTCCCGGAACCCAAGCTGACTTATGGTTCTATGATGCAGGTTCATGCAAGCCAATAAACCCAAGTAAACTAGGTGGAGTTACTTACTAAAACGGTAAAGAATCACCTAAATGGCCAAGAGTTAGGTTTCCCTAGATTTCCACTGTCCACTCCAAACCACTCCCAAGTACCCCATAGAGTGTCGAAGGGCTGTTAAACAGGTTGTAAAAAATGGGACTGGTTTGCTGCTATCAGCGTCACCCAAGGGCCCCAAATACCAGCACAACAGCGATTTCAAGGAAACTACCCTTGGACTTAAAGAGGTTTTGTATTGGAGAGCGTGTGTTTGTGTGTTTGCGTTTTGTTTGGGAAAACACAAAATGGTTGGCTTCCTTCTGGTGTCCCTTTAAAACCAATCAAAAGGGGGGTACCCCCCCCAAAAAAAAAACGGCTCATAATATGCGATTTGGCACCCCCATGAACCCCCATGAAACCAAACCCAAGTACTTGCATGGTCTGGAACTTAGCTAAATGGTCCGCAACCCTGGTGCAAAACGGGACTTACAACATACAACCATGATAAATGGGCTACAACTAGAAGCAGGACCACCACTCTGATGTTTACCACGTTGGTACTTTAACCTTCGCGGTGTTTACCATGCTTTTACTGTAGCCCCTCTGGTTTTTACCATCACCATGAAACCTTCCTGGTGCTTGCCATGTTTTCACTAATCCCCATGAACCCCGGGTAGGAACCGAACCGAACCCCCCCCACCCCGTCCATCCCCCTCCTGCGGGGCTGGGCGTGGCTGGCCACACCTCCGTGGGGGTGTAGTCGCACCAGCGCCGCCGCTGGCCCGCCGGGGTCGCCTTCCGTTCAACGGACCCCGTTTTTTGTGAGAGAATCGGTGAGAGGGCTTGGAGCGGCAGGAGTGACGCGGCGTGCTTGTTGGTTTTGTGTTGTTGTTTGTTTCTCTTTTTTTCTGCTTTGCAAGTTGGCATTGTGACATGGTGTGCTTGACCTTTTTCCAAGTTGGCATTTCCAGGAACAATACCGGGGTCTTGGAGGTATGGATGGTGATTATATACCACCATAAGTAATGCACATTGTGTAGCCCGTATATAAGTGGTATATAATCTTCATACCTTCAAAACCCCTCTCCCCTGCTTGCGCGGGGATGCCAGCGGGGGTTTTGGCAATGAAACATTCCCTTTTAGCATACTCCCCGCTGAAAGCGCGACAGGAAGCCACGATTCAGGTTTTTGCCCACTACCCAAACCACCAACCCCAAATAAACAAACAAGGCATATATCCTTTAAAAAGTGGCTGCAGAGTGGCTGTACGAAACGCCTGCGGGCAGTGGCTGCTGCTGAAACAAACTTCTATTCATGTCATTGTTCAGACACCAAGTGTTGCCCCACCTTGAAGTGGCCACTGTTGAAGATGCCACCATTCACGGAGCCAAGGCTGCCGAGCGGAGAGTGAATAGTGATGCTATTCCTTGGCCGAACCCGACCCGACGCACAACATGATTGTTTGAAGGGGGAAACGAAGACCCAAAGGGATTGCTGACTGCATGTTGGCTAAGAGTGATAGGCAAGACACTCCCCAAAAGGGCAAAGCAAGTTTTGGCTGGTTGTGAAAAAGTGCCACCAACCCAACCCATCAGAAAATCATCAGGGGTTCTGAATGAACTTGACGAGGACCCCCTTCAAGGAAAGAAGCCACAAGGGTTTGCTTTTGTTGGGGTCATTCCAAACTGGCCAGATACCCAGCAAACGAAAATATCCTGTAGAACTTCCTTGTAGAGAAAAGGACCAACAACAACAAAAAAAAACCTGTTCGGCAATGCGTCAGGCTCCCCAGCGGGGTGGGGGCCTTCCCACCTCGGGTGACCCCCGGCAAAGGCGAGGTGGGGGAGTTGCCAGCCATGGCACGCCCTCTGAATCTCTGAGGCAGAGAGCACTCGGGCTGCGGCGCAAAAGCATGCACATTCGGTGATCCGAATAGGCCAGTAACTTCTTCCAAGTCGGGAGGCTCAAATCAGCCTAGCCTTCATCCCCGATTTCCGCTCTCCCCAAGCCACTTCCCCGGAGGAAACGGCTTGTTGTTCCAATCCCCAACCTGGTTTGGGACAGTTGGTTGGGTCGAGAAAACATCTCCATCGGCCTTCATCTGGCAAAAGTAGCGTCGTCAGTGCACCTGCAAACGCCAGGGTGACACTGTTCAGATGATAAGCCCGCAATAGAGGATGACGAAACTTAAATGGTCATGTGAAAAAAAGGGGAAAACCCTAAAATGGGCGGTGGTGTTCGTGGTTTCCTTTCTCAAAACAGGGCACCAACACTGCAAGACCGCCGTGGATTTGCACCCCGCACTCCTTTTCTCAAGTCGGCGGAGGGTCCTCCAACGGGGCGATCTCTGCCGCGGTCATGTGCTCCTCTGTGCGATCTGTGGCCTTGCCCTGCGAGAGTTCGTACTCCTGGCGAGGTGTGGGGTTGCATTGGGGCGGGGGCTCCCAAAATGGTGGCGCTTGGGCGCTTGGGTGTGTCCATTTTTGAGGGTGCCTCTTTTGTGCTTGGCTTTAAAGGGACACCGAAAGGAAAAACACCGATTTGAAGGGTCCGGTTTCCCTTTAAAACCACCCCGAAAGTAGTATCAACTCAAAGAAACACAGCCATGTGAATGTGTTTTGATCAGTATTTCCGTGCAGGTTAACACGTAACCAACAAGAACGCCGTGGCTTCTTTTGCTGAGCCTCCTTGGGGACTGATGCGCTCCATGTTAACTTGCAGGGGGCATGTGCCTTGATTGACCTGCCGTAGTTTCCTCCTCACTAGGGGCCTGCAACCCCACCAGTGCCTGAACCCCTTCCCCTCCCCCCCCTTAGCGCGTAGTGCGCACAAGCACAGCCAAAGGATCCCAAGTGAAGGATCTGGGTCGGAAGAAGCAGTCCTCTGAGAACCATGGCTACTAGGTTGCACCCCACTGTTTGAATGTCGAACCAAGTGCCAGCTCCGCTTGCCACCAGATGGGGGTTGATCAATATTCCTAACCCCCAAAAGAGCATGGGGTCGATCAATATTCCTAGCCCCCAAAAGAGCATGGGTAGTTTTCCCATTTAGTGGGAAATATAATATGTTTTGTAGTTTTCCCCCATGGTCATCCCATGTAAAGGACCTTCTGATCAACCCCCAGATCCGGGTTGTGTCTTCCTTTCCCAATGCAGCCACGGGGCTACAAGCGCTTCAGCCAAGCGAGGATGGGCATCTTTGCCGGGGACGCCTCCAAGCTGTGAGAATGACCACATGGCCTCAGCAAATGAAATCGCAGAGGGGCCCAAGGCTCCTTCAGAGGGACCTGGGAGGGAGCCCAAGGCCTTTGAGAGGGAGCCCAAATACGCCCTCAATAATGCAGGCAAAAGGAATTGCTTATTTGGGCTTCCTCCCCCGGCTCCCATGAAACCTTCCCCTTCTTCCGGTTAGTTCACTGGAAATTCCAAAAGAAAACAAAGACCCCCTACCTACACTGCCCACATGTGTGCCTTTCCTTGGGCCCTTCGGGCCGAGGCTTTTCACCCCTTGATGGTCTGCGTCAGTTGCAGCAAGGGACCCCCTCTGGCAAGACTTCCCCGTGCCGCGTGTTGCAACTTCAAGAGGCTGCTGTTGGTGGACATGAGCTTCTTGCCGGCTTTTTGGCCCACCAACCACTTTGTCAGGTGGTTCCCTAGTAAAATGTCGCATGGCCGTGCTGTTTTTGAGTTGGCACCACCCTTTCGAGCGGCGCGTTATGAGGGTACTTAAGGAGGCGGGCTATTTAGCCACCCTGGTTGCAGCCTATGCCTGTAAGTCCCTGTCCGTGGTTGCAACCATGTTTCCTACCCGCTTGTTCACTTCCTACCTTAGGCGATGCCCAGAACCTCACCCCGCCTTCAGAACTTCAGCCCAGGGGCAATGTCTCGCGCTTTTTCATCGCAGTGATCCCAGGAGCCTTCCAGTCTTCCAGCCAAAGCCTTCAGCAGCAGCTCGTCTCCTCGATTTTTCGGCCAGGCAGGCGCTCGGGCTTCCGGCTTGGGACGAACCCAAAGTGGTTGAAACCAGGGAACCTGGCGGGAAATTGAACAAAGTGGTAACCAGAAAACCTGGAAGACTGGATTGGTTTGGCTTGGACATCTGAATATGCACCCTGCCTCCAAAAATCATGGAAGCTGAAGACCGGACTTCGGAAGACTGCCTTGTTTTTGAGCAAGCCACTTTTGGAAAGGGCCTGTCGCAAGCGGCAAGTGCCACCCAAGATTCGTCAACCTCACGCATGACTATGAGTGTGTTTGTGCAGCAGACCGGTCGGCATGCCTGACCGCCTTCAAACCGTTTGCTCCTCCAAATGAAAGTGATGTATTCCCTTTTGAATTTGTGGCTTGGTGCTCAAAGAGGGGTTTCCCATTCACCCTCTGCAAAAGCCAGGGGTGCAATTCCAAATCGAAACCACCAGTTTCCGGACTGACAGAAGGCAACAAAGCCAAAGCTGAGCTCCGAGCTGTAGCCAAAGTGGGCCAAGGCCAGCAAGAGCCTGGATTTTGCTGGCCATGTTTTGTGGCGCTGACAAGAGGTGCCTCGTATGCCTCCGTGTAAGCAAAGGAGACTCACTTTTATCGGACAAAATGTGCATTGTTGCTGGTCAAGCATGTTCAACATGATGTTTTTTTACGTATGGCAACGCTTCAACCCCCCCCCCCCATACACAAAAAAAACGTGCAATGTAAAGACCCCGGACTGGGCTTGCCGAGGGGCTGGCAAAGATCGAGGCTGTTGAAGGCTTCTTTGCGGTGCAAAAGGTCAAGGGCCCGAAAGGACAGCGCCGCGAACAAGTGCCCGTCCTCTTGGTCACTGCTGACTAAAGCCTGGCATGTGGAAAGGGGGAAGAACATCAGCCCGGCTGAAAAAATCAGTTTCCCAGCTACCGTCAATAATAAACCAGGACTCCGAAGCATTTAATTCGGGTTACCTGAATGGTTGAAGGGGGGGGAGAAAGAAATCACGCTCCCTGACACAAGGACAACTCACATTCCAAGGTCAACCCTGCCCAAAGGCAACCAGAAATACAAAGCTTCACCTTTGGGCACCCTGGACCAAACATGGACAGAAGCCAGGTCAACAAGTCGTAGGCTCGCTGCCAAGCAGCGGTGGCCAAAATCCCCATCTCCCGGGGCTGAAAGCCGGGCATCCTGGAGCCGAGAGGGTAGCCGTTTCGCCCGGCTCCGTTGAAGCGAACATGTTGCGCCCCCCCCCAAAAAAAGAGTTGGGGAAAGGGAAAGCGTCCCCTTGAAACCAGAAACGTGGATGCGGTTTTCAACTGCAGGCGACTTGAACCGGGAAAAACCTCAGGTCTCAAAAAAGCATTTCCAAGCTGGTTGGTTTCCACTTGCTTGCCCCATGGCCGAACGCTTCCCGTCCCCGTTGGGCCCTTGCATCGCCCATCCGTCCGTCGCAGCGCCAGTTGGCAAATGACTCCCAGCAGGCCCCGCGCAGGCGCGGCCGCGGCGTCCGGGCTCGTGTCCAGGTGGGCGGGCTGAGCGGAAGGGCTGAGACCCTGGGTTACCCTCCCCTTTTCACATGGAACCTGACGTTCGGGACCCGGCCCCTTTTAAAGAAAAACACGGTCTTCCAGGATTGGTTGGGTTACCCTCCCAACATGGGAGGCTTCGCGGAAGATGATTTTCCTGTTGGGGGTACCCTGTGTCAGTTGCGATGTTATTGGGAGGGAGGGTAGAAGGCTGGGTGGTCACCCTTTACAAGAGCGAGGGTAACCTGAAAAACGGCTCCCGAAATCTGTAAAGTGGTTGATTCCCTTGACTGGCTCACAGAATCTGTACCGGGTCCCTTGGTATCAGAGACACAAGAAGCCAGCCAAAAATATGGGGAATTGAAAGGGAGTGGGGTTCCTGTTGGACCCACATCCTTGCCCTTCGAGTATAGAAAGGCCAAATAGCGGTAGGCCATCAATCCCCCATGCTCCCCAATTTTAACGAGGCAAACGCACCGGCTCTTTCGCGTGTCCCATGGCACATTTGTTTAAGTGTGCATCTTTTGCTGGGGACTCCTTTGATTGATTTTAAAGGGCCGCCAAAAGTAAACGGGCGACGGGGCATCTATCCCCACTTCTCGACTTCCCTGATACTGAGGAACAACATGTGCAGGCTCCCATTTCGGGCTCCCATTGTGTTAAAGACAAACCGACTACACCCCCCTTTTTGGGGGGTGGTTTACGAAGACACGCCCTGAAAACCCAAAGGCCCAAAGGGACCCCCCCGGCCGTGTTTGGGGGACCGACCGGCGACGAAGCTCACCGTTCCGAGCCTTCGGCTCCTTCTCCTTCGGCTTGCGCATGACCCGCGCCGCCAGCAGCGCCGCGTAGGCCACGTCCCCCACCGCCCAGCCCGAGCCCGCGGCGAGCGCGGCGAGCTCGGCGTCCGCGCGGCGCCGGGCGTCCTCCATCGAAACCCCCCGGCCTGCAAATTAACATGCGTGCATTGGTGGTTTGAAGGGTAACCGAAAGGAACCCACGGTTTGTTGGGCGCCTCATTTTGACATGGAGTCGTCTTTTTGTACAGGAAGCCTTTTTGAATGTTATCTATCAGTTGGCAAGGAATGGCATCCAAAGAGAAGTCCCCCCAAAGCAGATCGTGATTTGGAGGGTTTTTGGGGGGTCCTTGATCTGCAGAGGCGTGTCAACCGCTGATAACGTGCTCATGGCGGCGGATATTCGTTGGCTTTTGGGGAATGCCCCTTTCTGTGATACCAAGGCCTCCTTTTCATTGTTTTGTGACGAAGCCCACGCTATCACAAAAAGTGTCATGTTCCTTGGTGGCTGTTGACCCCTCTCCACAAAGTTGAAAGTTTTGCGGATTCAATACGGAAACCCAAATGAAAGAGTTAAAGTCTAAAGACCCGCTACCCAACAGCAATCAAGGAGGGTCATGTTCGACATGCCCAGAATGGCTCCCTAAAGGGCATCACTCATTCGGTGTGGGACGTCATGTCCCGCCACTCCTCCAAAGCCGGTGCCCAAAAGCCAGGCTCCCGGTAGCCTGCGCGGATCAAAGTCGGATTCGCCGCGACTTGTCCCCCTCGATCCTTTGCCTTTTTCCGTCGCAGCAACAAAAGAGACACGGCCGGCCTTCGCCTCGGCATTCTGGGCAGCATCTTACGACGCTCGGTCATGTCTTGTCTGTTCCGTTGTTTCTTCTAGGCCCTCCCGTAGAGAGGTTCGAATGAGGTCTGTAGTCTATTTTAGTAGGGGAACCCGCCCACAAAGGGTAAAACGGCACTGCAGAAACCCAGTCTTGAATGGTTGCCAACGAACCCCGCAGCTGCCCAGAGAAGATCCTTCTTCGGGGGCTACCGCTGCCTCCGCACTTTTTTCGGCGTGCTCAGGAAGTGTTGAGGGTACCAGTTGGTTGTGGAGGGAAGCCAACAGCAAAATCACTTTGGGGGATTCCCCTATTTTGACATCCCGCTTGGTGGGATTCCCATCCCCATGCCCCGCCTAGCGACCAAGCCGATCGCATGGCGCCAATCAAAGCCGGGGTCTTGATCGCCGAGAGCGGCGCGGCAAGGCAGGCATCAAAGAGACGCTGCCCCAGGCTGTTGCGGCTGCCTCCTGAGCCGCACGGAGCCAAGATTTCATAGCACGTCTTTCTTTGGGGGCCATGGGATGCCTGAAGCTCCCAAATGCCTATGCAAGCAAAACAAAAGAAGGGCTGCCTTGGATTGTTGGCTTGCGCCATGACACAAAGTTCAGGGGCACACCTGACCTGGGGAGAAGTCTTGATATGCGCAGGGCCTCTCATAAGACTCACTGGGCTTAATTGCCTCCCATGTGGGGGGCCGACATTTAAGGGTCTTCCGTGGAAGAATTGCAGGGCGGCGAGTATTCTGGTTTGCGCCAGAAAAACATGCCTCAGCCTCCCTCTCGTTGGTGCTTTGGATGGTTGGGACGGGTTGGGGGGGGGGGGGGTGCCAACTCCTGGTTCTTGTGGAGGGTGAATGGGACATACCCAGCAAACCAAACCAACAAGGAAGCTGACCCCAACGCCCAGACCGAGCATCGCAGGTGCGGGACGAAAGCCAAACACTCCACGATGCCCTCCAGCTGCTGCAAGGTGAGCTGCTCCGACACGCGGGGGATAGCAACCTACATAGGCCAAATGGGCCAAGAGCGCGAGGTTTGGCGTTAGGATGCCAAGTGAGACACTCAAACCCATTGCGGCTGCACCATGGCTTTGAAGTTATGGAGGGTTCATATAAGCTAGGCCAAACCCTTGTAAAACCATCTACTTCAGTTGCCCGTTGTGGGTTTTGGTGGGCCACCGAACTGGGGAGCGGCGGCTATCACGTAGCCCCATAGCCCCGCTCGGAGGTGTCCATGAATCAAGGATGGAAAGCGTCAAGCATCTTCGGAGCCCAGCGGTTGTTTTACATTTTGGCTGCCTGTTGTAACGGGGGTTTAAGCTGCGCCACCAGGGCCCTGTTGCCAATTTGAGGGAGGGATTTCAAGTCAGAAACTAAGTTAGAAAGTTCCTGTTAAATTGCAACTTTGCCCAAGGAGACTTTCGGAAAGGCAAAAATAAGTGGCCCGGATCTTCAGGTATTGTGTTCTGACCAAGGCTTCATAAGTTACCCCAGAAACAAGACCTGCCTACAGTTTTTTTATACCTCAAAACCAATGCCGTCCCCCTCAAAAGCGCACGGGGCTCTCAAAATCTAGGTCCCCTCAAAGAGCTTCAAGGGAAGCCAGAAGGAATCGGCTCCGTCCAACTTTCGAACGGCACAGGCGCCTCCAGCACCTGCGCGAGTTTCTTGGGAGCAGGTCGAAGATGTGTGGCGAGCCTCGTGCGGGATTTGGGCTCGTCGTTTTTCTTTTTTGTTCTTGAATTATAATATGTCACCAGCCTGAAATAACGTGGTTTGGGGGCTATTCCCCACATAAACCACCATTTGGGGTGAGGTCGTGTGAGGTCGTTATAATTCACCCAGTTGTTTGGTCCCCCAAAATGGAGTTTGGTTCTCCTTTGGGTTCCTTGTATACGCTATGTTAAAAAAATGACTTGCACCGGGGTGCAAACGTCCCGTTTTACATGGAAGCCGCAAGACCCCGTTAAGGTGATCTTCCCGAAGCCCAGGTTCGCTCCAACCTCTCAACGTCACTGAAAGCAAATTTCAAAACTCGCTTTCGCATCTCCTGGCCCGCCCCTTCAGCAGCCTGGCTTCCCTCAAGAAACAGGCGCTGGACCCGGCCACTTTGCGCCAGCAAAGGCCACAAATGCCCCCAAAAATATGTGAAGTCGAAAAGGGAAGCGACCTCCCTGAATGCAAATCCCACACGGCGCTTCAAGCGCCCAGAAAAAGGAAGGAGCCATAGGACGTCCCGTTTGCAACCAACGGGGCGACTTGATGAAGGGTAGCAGGTAGCCCACTGGAAGGTCGCGCCCCTCTCGGCAGCAGCGCTCCTTTCGTGGCGGTTTGCTGGGTTGCTCCAAGCCCTTTGCAGGTTTCGTGTGGAAAGCAACTCGTTCTTCCAAAAGGTTTAAGGGGGGATTCGGTCAAAGACCAGCTCTGGCTTATAGGGAAACAACATGGCAAGCCACTCTGTTTTCCAACACGCCCACAACCTTCGGCATGCCTTTGAGCCGAGAGAAGCCATCAGATGCACGCCGCGAGCGCCTTTTTGAGTCCGCGTCGGCAGACATCCATTTCGTGGCAACTGGGCACTGTGGCTCACGTCGCGCCCAGGCGTCTCCAAATCAGGGCGCCCCTAAAGGTGGCATCCCCTTGTTTTTAAGCCACCCCAAAAGGGTGGAGCTTAAAAAGGAGGACACGGGCCTGGCTGCTCGCGCAACCAGCCCCGGCCCCCATTTGCCACGCCTATGCGGTCATCGGGTCCTTCTTAGGCTCGCGGTCCTCCAAGGAGGGCGTGGACGAAGCGGAGGGGGTCTTCAGCAGGTGGTTCTCGGGATTGGCGAGGACGTAGCTGGTCCGGTAGATGCTGGTGAGCGACGCACACGCAAAGAACACGCTCCCCAGCAAAAAGAGGCTCGCTCCTGAAACGGGGGCTTGGAGAGCCGGGAGAGCCCCAGGGACTCCCTCGGCTTCTCTAAGAAGGGTTTTCCCTTTCCAAAGTAACGCATCCAACGTGGTTCAAAAGGGAGCCCCCCTTTTTTTTTCCCTTCTACAGGGTCTCCAAAGGGTCTGAAGAAGGCGGGCTGTTTAGGAGGTTTTCCAAGGCTCCGACGGACCACTGCCAAGGTGCCAATGTAGACCATGGTTTCGTTGCAGCCCAGGTCCGGGAGGAACGCAACAGAGCCCATGACGAAAAACAGGGCACCACCTGATTGCCATTTTCAGGGGGTTCCGATCGCTGGCGCCAAAGGACAATCATGTGTGTAGCATCCGGTCAAACCCATTTGATAGAGACCCTTCAATCGGGTCACCCAACAGTTGGGACCTTACCGCGAGGCCCTACGGGAGGTTCCACTGAATCACAAGCAACCCACCCATTCACACCTCGTTTGGGCGGCAAAGTTTTTCGTCCAACACGGCATGTCAGGTGTTCCTTTGGTTGTCCCCCAGCAGCTATACCCACTGGCCGGGGAGTAACCATAGAGTTGCTTTTGGGATAGCCTCCTTGTGGTCGCTTCCTTTTTCAGCATGCCTCTAGCCAGCTGAAAGAGAGAAGCCCTGGCTCTTGAGGGTAGAACGGAACCTAATCACACCTAAGCACCAATCCAAACCACCAATTGGGACCAAATCGGTCACTGGATTTGCTCGTCACAGCTGAAACTTGCAGCTTCCACAATTGGCAACGGAGCAACACCTCAGAGAAACGGGTGTCCACACTTTGGGGACACCCAAAAACATGATCCTCCCTCTCTTCAGTTGTCCTCAAAGCCACCCCAAAAACGGTACCCTCGCAAAAACAAACGCGCACATTTGTTCGAGGAACCACCCAAAACAAAAAACAAAAAAACGCATGTCCAAAGGCAGTGCGAAGCCTAGGTATGTGGAGGTGATAGCTGTGAGCAGCTGGTTCGTGAGGGTGTCGAAGCTCCGTTGGTTCAAGCCATTCACAAAGGCCGCAAAAGCGAAGAAGGCGGAGCCCATCATGAAGAGGATGGTGCCTATCAGCGTCCTTCTAACTGGTGATTTGGGTTGGTGGCTTGGGGAAGTCACCCCCGTGGTTCTTTAATCACCAACCCCAAACCACCAACTAGAAACCAGGAGAAACGTAGGTTACATATACAAATGCACATGTATCTACCTACATTGTTCTACAAACATTCGAGCGTGGTTCACTAGCGCTCGGGGGAAAAAAAGCAACCATGAGAGACCTTGGAACATGTATATACATATGTACATATAGTTTTTTGGGGCTTGGGAGGCAACGAAGAGGGTGGTGGCGACAAACATTGGGAAACTATTCTAATCCACCAACCGAAATAAGGAATCCCTATGAAAGAAACCTTCACTCTGGGGGACGTCGCAAAGCCCCATGTGGAGTCGTCATAGTTTGCCCCGCTTCATATATTGGTACTCAACCTTGGGATTTAAATACACACCTACAACTAGATATATATATATATATTCATAATATCTCAAGAAAGAGCTCTATGTCAAGAAAGGGCCCCGCTTCTTTCGCATGTGCACCAGGACCCTTCCAGCTTGTTGTGGTGTTTTTTTTTGCGGTGCATGCCTTCAAATTGCGTGCTGAAGAGGTTGAAATAGACCCCCAGGGACAGGTGCTTCGCGAGCCAGGTCATGTGATACCGGTCCACCTCCGGCGGCCAGTACATGACTGTGCCGATGAGGTACAGAAGGGAGCCTAGCAGGTACAACACCTCGGCCAGGCTTTAGAGCATGTTCGACCCCAGCAAGTTGTCTGATCCCGCCTACCTTAAGGAAAAGGGGGGTGGGGGTCCATTTATCTAGTATTCCCCATAAAAGGGAAGATGGAACCAGACATCGAATTCCAGTGTCACCCCCCTCCCCCAATTCCATGTTGAAGGGTTGTTTTCTTTCGCTGTCTCAAGGCGAAACCCAACACACAGACAAAGCTTTTCTCAAAGGCGACTCGGTGTAGCAGTGAGGCACGTGCTCTATGGATTCGAAGTTGAGGATATTGTCATGATAGGACACTGCCTCACAGAGCGTGTACAGAGTGATGCAGCAATACACGAAGCTCCCGAAGATGAAGAGCCCGCATCCCAGCCTAAGAGCAAAATAACTGGAAGGCCTCGACAAATTACAAACATTACCCATCCGCAGTTGGCTTCCTGGGGATGGAATTCTAAAATGCTGAAAAAGCATACCCACCCCCGTTTGGCTTCCTTTCTTGCACCAAAAAACAAACTCAAAAGGGCTTTGTTCACCGCGCCCAGCAGCAGGAACACGTCCATGTCATGCGCGTAGGCGGGCAAGAAGCACGCGCTGCCCACGATGAAGATGGCGTTCGCCGCCAGCTCGAGGCCTTCGATGGCGTAGGCGGCCCGCGCATCCCGGCGGTCGTAGCGCTCGGACCGCTCCTTCGATGGGACGTGCCCAAAGGGCGCGTTGCCTCGGCGAGGGAAAGCCGAAAAGCTGCGACGACGTCCGTGACGTTGCAAAAGGCCCCATGAATCTCCCGAAATGTATGAAACATATTTACCCACATCCACCCAAATGGGATCCATGTATGAAACATATTTACCCACATCCACCCAAATGGATGAAATGTGGGTTGTTTTCTTACCTACAGAGCTTTGGGATTTGGTGGTTGGCTTTACCGGTGTAGCCCCTTCTCACAGAAGAAAACGAGGATGCCATTGGTTGCAAGGTGTCGAATTCGCTCCAGCACCACGTGAGGCATTTGAATGCCCCTTACCTCATTGACAGGCAATGGCCTGGCGGAAAGCTACTCTAGTAGCCTAATTGGCTGCGGACACGGCGCATTGGCTGCGGATGACTTGGGCAAAGCCCAGACACTTAGGGAAATCGAGCCCTCCAAGACTATCAGACTATCAGACCAAAAGAAAAAAATGACCATGGGAAGACGTACAAGTCTTGCAGGTGCTGTGTGAACGTTTCTTGAGTCCCATTAACTCACATAACCCCTGCATATCAACCAGGGGCCCAAAAATGCCATGCCTTAGACCAACTGGGGAAACCTGGGGTTGGGGTCCGAATCTCATTCATGGGCTTCGTTTTCCCTGGTTTCCACCGGCGGGGGGGGGGGGGGATTTACGGACATAGGTGATCTTTCTGGAAAAAAAGATGCGTTTCCCTGGCAAACGTCTATAAAACCCATCTACACCGGTGGAACCCACCTATTTCTTAGCCAAACTCACCGAAGGACACCTGTGATCTGGGTGAGAAGAAGGAACAAAAAATGAAATAAGGCGGTTGGGGGGCTATTCCCCACATGAACCACCATTTGGGGTGAATTCGGTCGTGTGTCGTTATAATTCACTCAGTGAGGCTACTCCCCCGGCTTGGCGAACCATCTGTCCAGCGCCGCTCCGGCAGCATCCAGCACGGCGTCGTCCCGGAAGCCCAGGCGCGCGAAGGCGGAGTAGCTGGCCACCAACGTGGCCACGTGCCGGGGGTCCAGCCTTTGGCACTTCGGATGTTTGGCTCGGCGCTTGTCATGGGGTCTGGGGGGAGGAAGAGGGGGGGGAGGTCTATCCCTCCCAAATAAGGCCTCTCCCTCCCCCCACACCACATGAAACCCATGGATTCAGGGAGGGAGGGAGAGGGGGGGGGAGCCCAAATAAGGTTGTGAGAAGGCTTCCTCTCCCTCCCCCCCAAACCACATGAAACCATGGATCGTTCGGAATGGGGTTTAAACAGAAAGGACCCTCCGCCCCCGGGCCCCTGGGCTTCTCCGACTTGTTTAAGCGGAAGTCATATTATGTAATCTGAAGATGTGTTGTTTGGTTTGAAAGTTCGGAAGGCTTGCTTGGCCAATCCGATTTTCCAGAATCCCAAAAAGGGGAAGCCACTACAAAGGGGTCGTAACCCGAGTTAAAGATTGAGGATTGCCGTTAAACAACCCAGGTTAAAAGGTGATTGGTTGGTGGCATGGGCTTGCTTATCTCTGGTCCAGGGGTTAGACGTAATATATGTCCGGGCGCTGACACGGAATCTTCAGACAAATTGCTCTTCGCGAATTGGGACAATAAATTCAAAAGTAAGGGACGGCATAGGTTCATGGATGCTCGGCTTCAGCTCGCTACAACTTGCCCGGATGTGATTGTTTGCAAGGCTGGGGCCTTGGAACATCATTCGCGCGATGGATTTATGCGCAAAAGGGGGTGAGCTTTAAGTGAGCTTAAGGTCTGTGATTGTGAAAACATGTTGTCGGACTCTTGCAAGTACCACAGTGCAGAAGGGTTCATGGTCCGCTCATGTTGAAGTGTTGATTCACTGTTCGAATAAGATTAATCAATAATTTTAGTGTTGAAATCACCTTTAGATCACTGCAAGCACCAATTTGTATGAATTGATTGTTTTACATACCTGCGGGCTGAGAAGCGCTCTGTACATTCCCCCAACCTCTCGATGGCTCGGGGGCATTGAGGCCCCGGCGGCTCATCCTGGCCTAGGGCAGTAATCACGACGTGCTGCACGCCCGTCAGCACCTGAACGCGTTGAGAGAGCCGTCAATCGGGGGGAGGGGGGGAAGCAAAACTGGTGGTTTTCCTTTTGGCTTCCCATTAGACCAAGCCCACAAAAAAGAAAAAGAAAAAAAGACCAAGCCAAAAAAAAAAAGTACCTTGAGAAGAACGAATAAACACACACCGCACTCCTCTGGCTTCTTGCCCGCCTCTGGTGAAGCTTCCAGGCGCGCAAGCCCGCCCAACCCGACCGCCAAGTCGATAAGGCCTCAGAACCGACGCGGAGCGGGGGACCGACTTGTTTCCCTGTAGCTTCCCCGTGGCTTTCCTTTTAGCAAGCCTTGGCTCACTTAGCTTCCTCTGTAGCAACCTTTGGTTCCTATAGTTTCCGCTTTGATCCCTTTAGCAACCTTTGGCTTCCGTAGCTTCGCCATGGATAGTAACCCTTGGTTCCAATAATTTCCCCTTCGGTTTCGATTAGAATCCCTAGCTTTTTCTTGGCTCCTATAGGCTTCGTTTCCTGTAGCAACCTTTGGTTTCCATAGCCCTGCTACCTAGCAACAATTGGTCCCGCAGCTTCGCCAAAAATTGGTTCCATTTGAAGCCCTTGGTTCCTATAGCTTCCCCTTGGGTGTCCTTTCTCTTGGCTATAGTAACCCTTGGTTTCCCCATGGCTCTTCCTTGACCCAAAGCCGGGCCACGCATCTGGCTGGCAGACTGCAGAAAATGCGTCCTCACATGCTGGGAAAGGCCTCGCCAGCCCAGGTCGATCCAGGCTTCTCGCTCCTTGGGCAAGCCACCGAATTCCCCTTTTCAGGGAAAGCCTTCCTCCTTTTTTGAGGAGTCCATGTCAATGTGCAGAGCAAGTCCAAGGGATGTCCGGGTGTTTTGCCTGTTGTTTGTTCCTGCGGTAACTTCCGCGGAGCAGAGTCTTTGCAAACGCAGCCCTTTCAGTCAGCGTTTCTTGAATGCCCCTGAACATTGCCTCCAAACTGGTGGCTGGCAATCCATGCCTTAGATCGCCGAATTCAATCCTTTCGAGCGCCATCCGAGCAAGCTCGAAGAAGTCCCAAGAAAGCCATGGAAGGAGGCCCTTGGAGTTCTTTTGCAGTTGGCCTGCAGCTGGTTCTTGGAACACTTTTGGCAACTAACCCTAGTGACTTTGGCACAGCTGCTGACTGCCAGTCATGAAATCCGGCAGCTCCTCGAAGATCTCCCTTCGGCCAGTTTCAACATATGAGACTCAGAAAACGCCATTGACTCAAGCCAAATTCTTCAAACTCTTTTCGACTCCCCTTGAAAGCAGCGCCAGGCTCCCACCGCGCCACACGGCCCCCCCCCCCCGCCTCGCGGCCTTGCGGCTCGCGCCGGGAGCCGCCGGCCTCCCCGTGGCCCGCCAGCTTCCCGAGGGAGTCCAGCAGCTCAGCGAGGGATCGGCCCTCAGCTTCCGGGGGATTCTCCGCCGATTTGTTTTCGTTGTTGTTGGTCCTTCTCTGGGCGTGTCTCGCAAAATGGGCATGATATGTGATACTAATTTGTGGGGCCTGTGTGTGTTGAAAGGTGGAACACGTTTGCAAGATCGCCTCGAAGGGAGACCTAGTGTCTCAATATCGAAGCTGTTCTGTTTGTTTTTTTTGATTCCTAGGGTTTGGTGTCGTCTTACGGGAAACCTAAAAGGGACCCGCACTTTGATTTCACGCTTGCCGACTGCGTGACACTGCGATGCGAATGTTCAGATTGGGCATTGAGATCGGGACAAATTCCCACTCGCCCATTCGCCTGTCCCGAACCCCCTGAAAAGGTTGACAAAACGTCACGAACAGGGTAACACCAACTGCAGAAATTGACCTGGACGTTCCCATTTCCCAGCCATAGCTATTGCTGTTGGGGGAGCCTGACCCCCCCCCCCCCCCCACAAAGAAAAAAAAGAAAACGCTGCACGCTTAGTCGCACTGAGCAAGTCCGCAAAGCAAAGCAATGCAAAAGAACCCCCACCCCCCACCCCACCCAAGAAAATAAAACATCCCCCCGCCCATTTCTAAGTCCCAGGCAAAGCTAGGGGGTACCCCAGTACCAACTCCAAAACGACCCGCCCATTCCTTCCCGCCTGGATGTTCCACGACAACTGCAGCTCCGCGCTCCGGCGCTGCAGCGCCTGCAGCACCGGGGGGTCGCGCACACGGAGCGCGGCGTAGGCCTCGCCAGCGGGCTCCCGAAATGGTTCGATAGATACGGTGCGCGGCTAAGTTAGTGAGTCAAAACACGACAGCCCCCACCAACCAGCCAACCAACCAGTCAACTAAGTAAGTAAAAACACGGAAAAAGCTCCAAGAAACCAACCAACAAACAAGAAACTAGCTTAGTAAGTCAAACGACCAACAAAACCACGAAAACCGATCTAAGAAACCAGGTTGAAGGAATACACGAAACTAAATCCCAAACCTGTGGGTTTTGATGGATGTTCAACCAACTTCGTGATGACCATGGTTAAAGAAGGGGGGGTAACTCGGGGTAGTCCCCTTATAAGTAAGCAGGTGTACAACTTATAACCTACTGGCTCCAAGACCCAAGTAGGCAATCAATTTCGGGGTGGGCAACCAGAATGGGGAACCGGCTCCAAGGAATCCCCTCTCTCAGGACTTCACGTTCCAAACCAAACTCTCCGAATGAATCGAGGGGGGATTCCCGACAGTGACACGAGCATTAACCCTTTCCCTTAACCCTGCCTGGGTGCGAACCAAAAGGTCTGGAAAAACATGTCCGTCCCCTTTTCCTTGGCTTCCCTTGGGTGCTAAATGGAGGGTCGGGAAAAATGACAAGAGCCTATGTCCCTTTGCGGAAACATGTAAAACTGTCCAACCACTTTCCGGGCCCACCGGTGTCCATGCGGCTTTGTCCTCCGGGCAAAATAATGCCTGCTGGAAAAAGGGTCAACGGTTCAAACCCTGAGGGTCGTGACCTCCCTTTTGCCTCAAGGGAGATTGCATGATTGCTGGACAGTGGTCCAAGATAGGATCAGCAGTGTGGAAACCTTCGCCTGTTCTTACTCCTGCTTTCGGTGAGCTTGGCACCAGATTGGGGGGGCTGTCAAAAATATGGCCGTGGCCCCTTGTCTCTTGGTGACCTGCCTCTGAGTGTGTTCGTGCAAGAGCGCTCGTGAAAGTGCGCTTATGTGGCGATCTTGCCGGGGGAACCCTTCACAATGCTTCTTGGAAAAACAGAAGAAAAAAACACAAATTCGGGAATTTCATATTTAGACTAGGCCTACCCTAAAGCAATGACCCCACAAGTCCCCCCCTAACCTCCCTCCAACCCCAACCCCCCCCCCAAAAAAAAAAAAGCTCTACCCCTTCCCCCCCCAACCCCCACCAACCCAAAGCCCTTTTGCCCGCCACTGCCTTGGCAAAGTGCGCCAGGCGCACCGCGCCGCCTCTCTCCAGCTCCGCCAGCAGCGGCGCCGGCACCGCAGTTCGCGACTCGCCTGGGGCCGAGATCCGCCTCTCGATGCCGCCGGGATCCCCGGGCTGTGGGGTCAAGGAAGGTCTCGTGCAGGGGGTCGTACTGACTTGTGACGGCTGCGTGCTGATTTGTACACTTCGGCAGCAGGTATGACGGAGCACATATGATGCCGGTGAATTAAACTGGTCGTTATGCGTGTTGGCCACGCACACGCGGTGCTTCGATTTGCTCGTGGAGGGGCGCTCTTCGTCCTTGCTTGTGGGTGCCTCACAGATGCAATTTCAGTCTCGCAGTTTTGGATTTGTGATGGCTTTGCACTGCTTCGCGCGCTCTGGGAGCAAGTCTGGCCGAGCGCCGTTGGTGATATGGATTTGGATTGCATCTGCGAGGCGCCCACTTGCAAAATGGTAGTGAAATGACAACGGACAGAATTGTTCGAAGGCTTGCTTATCAAAACAGAATTGTTAAGTCACAGTCGCACTTAGGGTAGTTGGACAGCTCCCCCCCGGCTCAATTGCTCGTCTCCGGAAACCGGCCAAACAATAGGGACCCCTGCTTAGGTTGGTCAGCACTTCTGTCATGATTAATTACCTTTGGGCCTTTGGGTTGCACCCGCATGGCTTGGGCTCCTGCGGTGCAGATATCGCCTCAGCCTCGGATTTCGAGCTCGGCATTCGTGCCATGCAACCCCAATGCACGACTGCCTCTCCTTGGGCCCTTGGAATTTGAAGGGGCGGACATGCGACTGGAGTCAAGACTCTAAACCTTTTCCATGAATCATGAATGTGGACTATGTCGGGTTTTGGAAGACTACCATCCTCTTGTTGGAAAAAGGGGAAAGAATCTCGAAACCGTTGCAAGTCATCACATCTGGGATGAGACGACTCCGCTATACTCCGCTGGTGTGGAAAGCTTCCCCCACCCCCTCCAAACCAACAGCACTGCAAAGCCCTACACCGGTACAATGGGGAAGTCGGGTACCTCAAAACCAAAGTTCAGTCATGAAGTTTGGAGTAGGCTACTAGTATTGGTTTAGCCCCTTTTACAAGACTACCAAAAAACATGTATGTGGGTGTCTCGTCTTTTTAGGGGACCCACAAAAATGTCCTTGTGGTTTGCCCTTAAAATTGGTGGGGGGGGCCCTCAAACAAAGACACACCCATGTATGTTGCTCACGGAGTTCAGAACTGCCGCGCGCAAGTGGCGCATCTGCCGCTGCGAGCTCTTGCACGGACGCATCTGGTGCCTGGCCCGCTGCCCAGCCGACAAAAAGGCGCCCACTGGGCCCTCGCAATCTTAGGGGTGCGTTTTTTTGTTCCCCCCCCCCAAAAAAAAAAAAAGTGGGTTTCTTTGGGGCTCCTTTTTTTTAACCATCCAAAAAGGGTACCATCAACAAAAAATGGCATGACCACGATTGGAATAGGGGCGGGTACTGCAAAACCAAATTTGGTCGTCTCGGGGATCAGGTGGGTATTTTTTGACCCTTACACACAAACTCTTGAACACGCTGCAGATTCTGTCAGAAGACTCTGCGCACAAAAGGGTCAGTCAAAGCGCAGGAAGTGCAAATCCGTTCTTGCAACCAATAACCAAACATAGTCTTTCTCAACCCAAATCCTTGACCCACTCCACCCAACCTCTCCTCGCAAGCAGCTGTTGCATTGAAGCTTCATTCCCCCCACCCCATCCCAGCCTGAAGCTTAACCTCCTACCTCACCCCACTGATCAAAAGTTCTGAATCAGGTCGCTGAGTCCTTTTCATTTGCTGAATCTATCCATCTCTCTCTCGCTCTCTCCCTACGCCTGTTGATTTGCCACTGTTGGACTCTTGAATGAAATGGGAGCAGGCTCACGCCCAAATTCCTGGGTTGACAAACGTGCACCCGGGCCTCTTCGCCCTACCCACATAAAATCGTGTAGGGGTGTCTTGTTTAGAGTTGGTACCCGTTTGAGGGCCGGTTCAAAGGGAAACTGCAAGGAAACCACCGGTTGTTGGCCCATTTTGAGACCATCTAAACACCGGCGAAAGCTCGTGGGCCTTTTAGTTGGCCAGCTCGGCCCTGTTTTCCCACCAAAATGGGAACAAACACCCACACGCCAACCTCCTTTTGGCCCCCCTTGAAAGGGGACCAAAACAACCACCCCACCTTGTCATGGGTGCCCAAAGCTCCAACTCAGCCACATTCCAGGTAATTCCAACAGAGCCCCCAGATCCAAAAGCTTCTTTAAACAAACCAAGGTGCTGATTATGAAATCTGCTAGGGCGCCTCAACAGCGCTTGGACATGAATGCCCACACGTCCAAGAGTCCAGGACCCATGAAACTTCACACCTCAAAAAAAGAATTAGAGGTCTGGTTCTTTGGTTCTTTGGCGCCCTTGGGGGTTTGATTCAAAGGCAACCCCACCGCAAACAGCCCCTCGGCGGGTTCCACGGGCTCCGCTTCCGCGCCACGCCGCGCGCAACGCGCGCCCCGCGCCCCTCGGGGCCCGCGCCGGCGGCGGCAGCGCCGCCAGCTGGCGGCGCCAGAGCTCCCGGCGCTGCGGCGCCTTGGCGCAGGCGCGCAGCAGCTCCGCCGCGGGGCCTCCGCACGTTTTCGGAGGTCTCGGGGTCGAAGGCCCAGGCGGGGGGGGGGGGTTGGACCAGGAGGCTCCGGGGGTGGACCAGAAATTGTGTGGAAGGGAAACTAAAAGGGAAACCAAAAGGCAGACCAGAAGGAGAACAAAAAGCGACTTTGAAGGTGCACAAAAAAAGAAACGCGCAAACGAGGGAGTGTAAGGGGCGAGCTAGACCAACCCGAACACAGGCCACGGGGGAGGGAGGGGGGGGGGGGGTTATGCCCTGACCATGGGAACCCTTGGCACAGGGCTTCAAGGATGTATCCAAATTTGGGACAGGTTATCAGGAAATCAGCTGGTCAGGGTGTGCCTTTTGGTTCGAGATCCGTCAAGAAATGTTTAAGGAACCCTTTGCATGGGCTTAAAAGGCAAACCCACCCTTAATTCTGCGCCCTACCTCGTTTCCTCCCATGATTCTTCAGAACCCCAGCCCTCTGCCTTGCGACATGGCGATAGGGCGCGGGAGCCCTTGAGCGCAACTCGCATCCTACAGATTTCACCTCTTCCAACTCGCAACGCCACTAGGGAACTGGAGCTCAGCAAATCTGCGCCTCCCTGGCGTTTTGCTACATGCAACCTGAAAGCTGTTTTGTCTTCACCTCCGGCTGCTACATGCTTCCATCATCTCATGCCTGCAAGGGACAGGGAGGAGTGATGAATGCACAACGGCAAATGGAGCACGAAAACCTAAACCATCCCTCAACGGGCAAGCAGCAAGCATGACACATTTCTGCGCCCGCCAATGCACAAGTATTCGCGTCAGAAGTAGCCGAGCTTCTCATGCTTCCGCGCGACTTTCTTTACCTGAGCATTCACATTTTTTCCCCAAGTGGGAAACATGCATCCCAATGCTACCCTGGAGATTGCCTCGATTGCCTCAAACATCCCTCTCTTCTCTCTTCTCTCTCCTGGTTCTGCAAAGCCAAAGATGCCAGTTCTTCTATGCCTTTGCCCGTCCATCGCGCCCACGCCAGCGGCCGCCGGTGCTTGCCGCGCCGGGCTTTGGCCAGCGCGGTCTGGCGCACTCGGCCCTTTCCACTGACCAAGCTGCTGCCCGCCTTTCTTGAAGAAAACCCGGCTTGTCCCTATTGGCAGGTGGCTGTGGCTCAAAAAACCGGACCAAAATACAACCCTAATGGACCAAAACAAACCTGCGTAACCCCTCCTGTTTAATTTTGAGCCACACCCAGGTGGGGCAGCTTTCCGAAACCCAGATACGGCGGTTAAAACGCTTGCCTCGTAGAACATGACGTGGCGGTTCACCAGTGGGTCCTCATGTTGCGGGCATGTAATGCACAACGACGCGCCCCTGCCGGTGTGTCGGGCGAATTCGCATGCACAAGCCGAACACTTGCGGGCAAGGTGCGTACTTCCGGAGCGCCATGCGAATGTCCTTCTTCAAAGGTGACTTCTCCTGGGGCGAAGGGGTGAAGCATCGTGTCTCCCCCAATGTGCAGCCCCTGAAAACTAAGTATCATCAAGTGACATCATTGCCCTCCACTTGGTTTCCAGGACACCCAAAACAAAAACAAAAAAACAATCGAGAACCCACCAACCAAACAATCACATTACCTCCATCCCACGGTTTTTTGTGTTTTTTTTGGTCTTTTTCACGTCGCCGAGGCGCTGTCCAGTACGCGAAGCCTGTGCCCACGGAGCTGCTGAGCTTCACGGCCAGCCGCTTGGTCTTGTTGAAGAGCAGGGCCGGGCTTTGGAACATCGCGACTTTTGCCTCAAACAAAAAACGAGTTGAGCCAAAGGTCCCTCCCTCAAACATGGGATGACCATTGGTTGGACAAGGAAAGTTGAGGACCTCGCGACGTCTTTTTCAGACGAAACTCCATGGGTTGTCCTCAAAAAGAATCGAGTTGATCCAAAGGCTTTTTCCTCCACAAAAAAAAAACAACCAAAAACGAGTTGATCCAAAGGTCCCTCAAACATGGGGTGACCAACATGGGATGACCATGTCCTCAACTTGCTCCTCACAAAAACTTGAGAGGCGGGTGAACGAAAGCTAGCCAGCCCAACGACGACATGTACAACTCAGAAGTGTTCCTCAGGAAATTCCATTTCGCGGCTTGCCAGACCTCCAGTGCCAGACCTCGCAACTTTTTCCTCAGGAAGTTCGATGGGTTGTCCTCAAAACAAAATATGGGATGACCATTGGTTGGACCACTCACAAGATTTGATATGTCAACCAGTTACCAATGGCCATTTGGGGGCCAGGATTCTTGATCAACCCCCAAAATTTCGTTTGCAGCCCCGCTGTTATTCTGTTTAAAGTCATCTAGCCAAAAGAATAGCGCCCTTCGTTTCTGTTTCTCAAGGCCACTTGAGGTTGCTTGGGCGTCTGGGGCTCACATTGGATATCTCTGCTTGGTTGGTTGACTCATAGCGCTGCAAGGTTCATGAGAGTTGGCGGCATGGGTTGTCAAAAAGTGGGCTTGTCAAAAACAAATGGTTGGCTATTTTTAAGCACCCGCATGCACGCAACCTCCTGGGCTTGCAGAGCCGTTTCTGCTTGAACCTACCCCAAGAAGGGCACTCAAACCAGAACAACAGGCCCCAGAAGCCGGAAGCCCAGGCGCCAAATGGATCCAAGATGCCTCTGGACCAAGGGCAGCGGCACAGTCGCGCTACGGGTTTTAAGGGAAGGGTGCCTCTCTTTCTGGCTGCTTCAGCTGCAGCACTCTGATGCTGAAAAGCCTCCCTGCCTTTCCCCGACACGAAAGTGGCCATGATCGGCTCTGCCTGTCTTAAGTCTTAGCTTTGCTTTGCTTGAGCTCTCCTCGCTTGAGTGACTTGAGTGTGAAAACGGCGAACAGCAACAAAGCCGTGCTGTGCATGGATTGCGGGCGGGCCATGCGAGGACACTCCGACTCTTGATTTTCACATAAGCTGATGGCGAGGTGGCCCCGGCATTCCTCCATCTGCAATTCGAAGCTGTGGGTCTTGTGTCAAAAGGGCATGCGGCATGAGGAAATACTCAACAGGTGGGGTTGTAGCAAAATGAGGGAACCCTCAAAAGGGTTGGTTTCCTGTGGATTTCCCCCAAAGAAGCGGCACGTTCGAACAACTCCCTGTATCAAGCCTTGAGGAGGAATGCCGTGGCAAGCACATTAAACACACAGCAGCCCTCAACCGGCCGACATCATCTGCTGCATGACTTCACGAAGCTCGTCACTAGGCCTGGCGGGCATCGGGCTTACTGAGGCCCTCTCGCCATCAGAAGTCAAAATGCGCAGCTGGTAGGAAAGCAGAATACACCAAACCCAGGGCAAAACATCAAACAAGCGGGCGCTTTGATTTGTGATTTGGACACCCCCGCTAATCTTCACTCGGCTGTGTATCTGTGGCTCTTCTCAAGATCCCTCCAGGCAAAGGCTTCAGCGCGTGCCTATGCCTCAGCACGGCTTTCGCTTGAGGCGACAAATGGCACGTGCGCCTGAGTAGTCCGCTTCGCCTTCGAACTTTGGCCTGGGCAGTCCAAGGGCACGCGAGAAAAGTAATGGCACGCCCCTGCCTGAAAGTATCCACCACCTTGCGCTTGACTGCGGGATCGGCACTGCAAAGATACCTAAGGACCACCAGACCGCCAGGCACACCCAGGTCACAGGAACATCAGCTCCAACGCCACAACACTGCTTGCATCGCAGTGTGCTCGAACGCGCGGCTGTCCATGGGATAGCGCCTTGTGCAATCACTTGGGAATGGGAACGGGTTGGTGGACTAATTGGGGGTCCCCCCCCTGCATAGGAATCCCGGAAAAAGTGAACCCGGGTTTAGTAATTCATCCAGTGCATCTATTTATGGGCCACTTGGGCAGGCGCAAGGCCATATAGGGAAAGGAGGCACTTGGCACTAGTGAGCGCGCTCCGATGCCTGCGAAATCCTTCCAGCAGGGCATCCTCACCTGCAAGCAAGTCCGCGAAGGCCGCGAAGGGCTTATGGCTCCGAATGTTTGTTTTCCTTCCGGCTTTGGTTCCGCCTCTACCCCACACAAACTGGAAGCAAGGCCAACCCTTTCCTCCCCCCACCCCCCCGCCCGCGTGACGAGGGCACGTGTGCATATCTGCAGATGGCTTGTTGGGCGCTGGCAGGCTGCTTGTCGTGCAGTGCGCTAGGGCTTCTCAAAAGCAAGCGGAAAAACGTGAGCATCATGTTCTTCCTCAGTGTTCGGAAATGGTGTTCTTTCAGCAAAGGGGGGGGGCCGTCTCTAAGCTTCCAAGCCGTTTTTTGCATGCAAAGCGCAAGCAGTTCCCTCACAGCCGCTTGCTTTCGAATGTAGTTTCGTTGCCCGTTTGGGGGGGGACCGGGGGGACTTGTGCCTTCAGCTAAGTTTCCAAGCCAGTTGCTTTGAATGAAAGATGAAAGGTGTCAGCTGCTCCCTCACAGCCGCTTACTTTTGACACAGACCTTCAGTATGGCTGCGTTGTCCGGAAATGGTGTTTCGGGGGGCGAGGGGGGGTGTGAGTTCGTCTAACGTCCCTAGCTCCTAAGCTCGCGCTGCCCACTCCAGCTTTCCAGCCACCTTGTTGGCCAGGCGTTGCTGCTCGAGTTCAAGTTCCTGGCAATCACTTTGCGCGGCAGCCCTTGTCAAATAACACTGGCTCAAGGAAAGCTTGCTTGCAGGTGGCAGAGCTCTCGAGCCCCCACACACACAGCAATGGCGACTTCGACTTCAAGACGACATGTCATTGCAGCTGATCACCTTGCAGAACACTCCCTGCCCATCGACCTCGTTCAACCTCGTCTGTGCACTGATCTGACCCTGCAGCCTGGCACGCCCAGAGAGCTTGCACTTACTGCCTGGGCCGCCCGTTGCAGTTGATCGGGTGTCCAGTTCTCAGCTTTTGCCGCGCTATCCGCCGCAGCCTGGCAACTGTGATGCCAGCTCGCACCTCTGTCGCCATCTTGGGCTCTGTCTTTCTGCCGCAACTTGACGTTTTGCAGGCACAAACAATTAAGGTAACTGGAAGGCCGCTGCTACAAACAAGGATGTGGGGTTCTCACAAAGCAGACTGCAGCGTTTTGCAGGGACAGTTCCATTATGTGAGGGAAGCTTTTGCTTTCACCTCTGACCAAAATTCTGACGCAGAGGTGCACTCTTGGCCTTCCACTCTGCCTGCGCGTGACAGGGGGTTTCGCCTTGCTAGCCCTCTTGGCAGCAGCTTTTGCCTTGGGCGCCGCTTCTTCTGCCAAAGGTTGACCGTCCGGGCCCAGCTCTAACTCTTCACAACCTGCCATGAGCCAAAGACGCAGTGGCAACTTCAATCTCTGATTCGCTGATTCAGGCCATGGGGAATCACGCCTACAAGGGCAGACAATGAGGCACACATCCACGCAACGCCGAGGGCCGGTGTTGCGATCACTTCTCATTTGCAGCTGTGTTCAAAGACACGCAGCACTTGACACGCTGGGCTCACAAGCAACGCAATGGTTTGGAAAAAGAAAAACTGAGGGCCTTGACAGCGAGTCACGTGAATACCAACGAAGCCACCAGATACTCTACCTCCTTTCGCAGAACGAACTTCTTCATACCTTGCGTTCCAAGCGTTCTTGATGCTGTCGGCCTTCAGGCCCTCTATGTCACACTGGCATTCTTTGCACCAGTGGTGCTTGGCCAGAACTTGTGCGGATGGGTTCTGGCATATTGGACACACTTTGCAGCCCTTCGGACCCCGCCTTCAAACGGCCTCTTTTGCCGCGCGGCACGCGCTTGCTGTTGCGTCGCCATCCTTGTCGTGCTCCGCATAGTGTATACATGTTCGTTCGAGAAGGCAGTGGGGTCGATCCAATGACACTCCTAAGCGAATCAAAGTTTGTCCAGCGTTTTGTCAGGCCTCTCCAAACATTGTGGCTTGACGACCCGTCGCATCCTCTTCGGTGTCCCTGCTGTCGGTCCCCATCCGGGTCAAAAACCTCGCACGCGCCCTCAAGCCTCGCGCAGCGAAGTTTGCTTGTGGCCGGCGTGCTCTACGCCAGCCCGCCACTTCCAGGGGGCCTGAGTTCTCAAGTAAGGCGTGAGGTACATCCACATGTCGCAGCACGCTGCCGCGCTAGGCGCCTACCCTAGCATTGCTCTCATCGGCTGTTGTCAGGCCGCGTGCTTCTGCACCACAAAGGCTGTCCCGGCACAAGAATCACCGCTCGTTTCGCCAAAAGCCAACACCAAACGGACAAGTCGAATTATCTTACTCGCCCGCACCCTTCCGACGGCCGCTTTAGCAAGTTGCTGGCGCGTGCGGCACTTCGTCTCCTGCTGGCAGCCACTGCCCTTGTGCTCGCGCGGCCCTGCGCCGGCTCTGCTTCATGCCATGTCAGCAGCGCTTCTGGCATCTCATTTCCGGCCTGCACGTTGGAAACTCAGCATTCGTGCAAGGCTCGCTGCTTTTGGATTAGGTGGTTGGGTGGTTGACTGATTGGGTGGTTGGGTGCTTGGGTGCTCGGGTGCTTGGGTGCTTGGGTGCTTTGGTGCTTGGGCGCTTGTGTGCTTGGGCGCTTGCGCGCTTTCGTCCTTATGTGCGTGCGTGCGTGCGTGCGTGCGTGCGTGCTTGCTTGCTTGCTTGCTTGCTTGCTTGCTTGCTTGCTTGCTTGCTTGGCTGGCTGGCTGGCTGGCTGGCAGGCTGGCTGGTTGGTTGGTTAGTTGGTTAGGGTTGCTTCAAGCTGGCGTGATGACTTCGAAGGCTTTGCTTCGCCAGGTTTGGGAGATTACTTCCGGGCAGGATTGTGGCCGGGGCGTGTGAATGGTATTGTGCTGCTCTAGGGTTGGTTCAGGCAGGGTCGGGGATGATATTTGGCTGAATTGGGGTGGGATTTAGTGTGACTCTTGCAGGCTTAGGGTCAGTTGAGCGCTTGGTTTGCTGTGTAGTTTTGCCGTTATTGGGTTTGCTGCAGGGTCACTGTTCCCCCCACCTACCCACCCCCACCCACCCACGCCCTGCCGCCTCTGCCATCCACAGACAGCGCACCTCCAGCCTGAACCTCCGCATTTCGGACGCAGAATCGGGCGAAGTCACTTCCCTAGTCTAAACCCATATGTCCTTCGGACACGCTACATGGTTTGACAGTTTGACGCTCCCGTCTAAGAAGGGCAATCCCTCCCCCCGCGCGAGTAGCATGCGGCACGGCAGAACGCGCCTTTGCCTTCACAGCCTGAGCGACCCGGTTTGGTGAGAAAGACTGCTTTGCCACCTTTGGATTCCCCGCAAAATGACCCGCAAGCCGCAAGTGAAGCTCAACCCATTGAAAAATATGTGCAAGTGAAGATTGGGGATTCATATGGTGTCGATGCGTTTAGGGAAACCACAGAGGTAGAACAAGCTGGCCCTTCTTTTTGTGGGGTTCGCCCAAGCGAATTGACCTTGTGAGTGACTTGGTCGCCTTTTGAAGTGGCAGCATTTTGAGTCGGACCTGTTCTGGAAACTACTTTTTGTTGCGCGGGGGGGGGGAACCTCGGCCTGACATAGTATGGAAGAGTCCGGCTAGTTCATCCTCCCAAGGCTTGGCCAAAACGGCTGGCATGTAGTTTGGTTCGTGGTTCGCCTTAGGAACTTCCAGTGGCCGACCTCATTGACATCAAGCTTTCTTTAAAGGCAGATCTAATGAACATCAGGGGTGCGGTGTTGAGGGTTGGCTTCAAGAAGAACCCAGGGTCAACCACTAA